AAAATTCTTAAAATTTACATTTTAAGTTAAGCTTCTTTTAAAAGCTAAAACTTCTACTTCTACTATAGCTATAATACTAAAAAAGCTATTAAAGTCTATTAAAAATACTATTAATAGAGTAAATAAAAAAACTCTTAATATAATACCTCTAAAATCTAGTAAATAAGGATATATTTCTAAGCTACCTAAAAGAGAAGAAAGAGTTATTAATAGGGCTATAATAAATAACTCTAAGGTTAAAAATAAAAGTGTATTAGTTAAAAATAACTTTTCTATATATAAAAGCAGCTTATAAAGATTTTTTAAAAAAGAAAGATATTCTATTAATATAGCTTCTAAAAAAGCTTTATTAGGTAAATATAAAGCTAAAAGGAGGCGTTTACTAGCTAAAAAGTAGGATAAAAATATTAGAAATATAAATCTTAATAGGATAGTATTTTCTAATAAGTTAGTAATCTAGCGTAGGTATAGTACTAGAAAGGAATATTACAGAAAGAAGAGAAATAATAAAGTTAGTAATTAAATAATTAATATAACTAATATAAGTAAGTTTGAATTTTTTTCTAGTAAGCTAAGTTTTAAAGCTTTTTTTTTTCTTTATTTTTATTTAACTATCTTTTTTATAGCTTTAAAACTAACTTTTTTACAGCTTAGGATATTTCTATCTAAGTTTAGAGAGTAATTTAGATAGGTAGATACTCTAAATTAAAGGTTATAAAAATACCTTTTATAACTAAGTCTTATATAAATAAAGACTACTTAAGAAAGGTTCTAATACGCTACGTTAAACTAGCTATTTAAAAAGGAAAGTTTATTATTCTTTATTTCTAACTCTTTTATTATTTTTAACCTCTATTTTTACTTTTTTAATTTTTTCTAAATTCTTAAAAAATTCTTTATACTTATATCTATTTAGGCTAGAAGTTTTAGTAAGATAATACTAAAACTTATAAAATACTAAATATAATAGCTTAGTTTAAAAGAAATAGAATTTCTTATTATTAGTATCTGCCCTATAGCCTAAATCTAGTATCTATTAAAAATATTAAGAGTCTATTAAAAGATAGACTAGATAATAGAATAAGTACTAGTTTAAGAGTAGGAGCTAGTAAGGCTAGTATAAAGGCCTTTAAGAGAGCTATATATAAGGAGTAGGATTTAATCTTATAATAAAGTATAGATAACTATATTTTATCTATATCTAGGTGTTATAAGGTAGTTATAGACACTAAAGAGTAGTATACTATGTACTAGTTAGCTATTACTTATTATATTATTCTATTTTAACTACTTTTACTACTTTATTAAATTCTATCTTTTTTACTTAAGTAACTATACCTAAAAAACTTAGAATTTAATATTAATAGATAGATAAGAAAGTTTATACTATCTTAAGTTAATTTTATACTTATAAAAAATACTTATTACTACTTTTATTAGACTCTTTTTTACTCCTTTTAAACACTGCTAAGGAACTATCTTCTTAAGATTACTAAGTAAAAGTTTTAAATAAGTAAGTTATAAATCTGTATTATCTCTTTCTAAATCTCTTTTTTTTATATTTATAGCTGTACTACTAACTAGGATATACGCTCTTAAAATAGTAGACTTTTAAAGTAACTTTTTATTTGTGTTACCCTACTGTACTATATATTAAAAGTAAAATATTTTTTCTAAATAATATAAAAATATATATAGTAGTTATTAAATTCTATTACTTAGCTTTATATATAGAATATAGTAGTAAATAGAAAACCTAGACTAAGTTTAAAAAATAGTACTTTTAACCTAAAATAATATTATTAGTAGCCTAGTATATATAAGATTACTATACGTACTAGTAAGTAAAGATATACTATAATAGTAAATATAGTTTTCTATACTTAATTTTAATACCTAAGTACTACTAAAGTTCTGCTTCTAAAAACTATATTACCTACTTACTACTATATACTAATAATAGACGTATATATACTAGTATTCTTATTATTAATAATTAACTTAGCTTAAATATGTATTAATTTATATTAAAAACTTAAAGATTAATATACTTATTAAGCTTTTGTTAAATATATCTAGTATAAAAAGGGCTACCTAAACTTTATTATTAGTAACTAAGGAGCCTAGTGTAAATTTTACTTTTTAAGATACCTATAATAGTAGGTTAGCTTTAAGCTAAAGCTATTAACTACTTACTACCCTAAAACTAATAAATAAACTAAATATACTAATAAATATTAAAGTAGTACCTCTAGGTGTATATTATATTTAAATAAAATAACTATATACTTTTTTTTTTAAAGTAGTATTGAAAGCTAATAGTACTATTAGTATTACTACTAGTATATCTATATAAATACTAATTTAAAAGCTATAACCTAACATTAAAGCCTAAGCTACCTACTTTACTAACTTATAATAATCTTACTACCTTAGCCTAAGCTAATTATATATATACTTATAAGCTTACTAAAAAGTTAAATACTACGAGGAAATACTTATATAATATACTATAATAGGTAAAAAAAAATAAAAAGAATATACTAATACCTATAAGCCTCTAGTACTAAAGTTTTAAGTTAGTAATAAAGTCTTTATTAATATTTATAACTTGTATACTACTTACCTAATTACTTTACTAGATTATAAGAACTAAGAGCCTTTAAGTATTATATATACTACTTATAATATAGCCTAAAAGCTAAACTTACTACTAAAGCTTTAGTAACTTTATAAAATTTTCTACTTATAGCTTCTTTATAAAGACTCTAATAAAACTTTACTAAGTTAAATAGTAAATTTAAAAAGATTTATTAAGCTAAAAAATAACCTTAAATGTTAGAATAATAATAATAATAAATACTTAAGGCTATACTTAATTTTTAATCTATATATTACCTAGACCTTACTATATTTAAGTATAATATATTATAATATCTTATTAAATAAGATAACTACCTAAAACAACTTTATAACTCCTTATAAAAACTATATATAAGTATTATTAGTACTATAAACTTAGTTTATAACTTTTATAATAAATATTATACTAAGTTAAAGCTATAGAATTAGTTAGTTTACTAATAAGTAAGTAAAGTTAATTTTTTATAAAACTTTCTAAGGGCCTATAACTTTATAATAACTACTTAATATAGCTAACTAGTTTACTAGTAAGCTTTAAAGTTTTACTTTATAGTAATAATATACTTACTAGTAAGTAAAGTACCTTTACTACTAACTTTTTAGGCTATATAATAGTTATTCTAATTATTAGCTTTAATAGATTATATTATAGTAACTTTATAAGTTATAACTTTATAATACTTATAACTTTTTATAAAGGCCTAGTTAAGCCTACTATATAAAAACCTTAAAAGTTACTTTAAAGGGCTTTACTAAGTATAGTAAAAACTAGGCTATACTTATATAAGTTTTTAGCTAATTAATAAGTACTCTAATATTACTATTAGTAATAATAACTTTATTAACTTATAGGATTTTATATTTTTATGTTTATTTTCTTATTATTATACTTTATAACTTATAGTTTTTAACTTATAATAGTATAAAACATTATATAACTCTTATAGTACTTTTTAATTAGTATTTATAAATAAAAGGTTAGATAAATAGATATAACTAATATCTAGCCTTTAAAAGTACCTATAGAAAATAGGTAGTATATTAAAGATATTAAACAGTTAAACCTAGTACTATTATATATATTTATAATATTAATTATAAAGGTTTTATTTATTTTAAGTACAAGAACTACTTTTATTAAAGAAAGAAAGTAGTATAATAAATCTTTGCCTTATAAGCTAATTAATATATAGTTAGTATATAGTCTATTACGTAATTACTAAGTTAACTAGTAGCGCGTATTACTTACTTACTATTTTATAATTACCTACTAACTTAGTATCTTACTTGTTAGAGGAAATTAACCTATTATTTAATCTTTTCTATATGCCTATTCTAGGAGCCCTTATATAATTCTAGTAAACCTAGATAAAGAGTTTATTCTTGTATCCTAATTATATATTATTATAACCTAGTAACGCACTTAGGAACTAATTAAGAAACTCTAGAGCTTAAAGTAACTACTTTTCCGCTCTATATATAGTATATATAATTACTATATTATAAACTCTTTGTAGAGTAGTATTTTGTATAATAATTATACTATTCTTAGTACTCTTTACCTCTATAGTTGTTTATTTAACCTATTTTATTAATTAAACTATTTCTCTTTTCATGCTCTGTTTAATATACTAATACTCATGCTACGCTTGTACACATCAAATTAGCCTAGATTCGAATTTTGCAGGCTTTGCTCTATCACGGAAAACGTGTTCTGAAGGCTGACCTTGCTTTGCGAGACAACTTACTTAAAGGTGATACTGACGTCCATTTGACAAAATAGCCAAGATATGGAACTCATTGACGTGAACCTGCCCTTTATCATGATCAACTGCATCTCAAGTCAGTTGAACTTTTTCTGCTCATCCTCGTTTGATGCCGTTAATCAACCATTGATCTAGCCGCCTTTTCAGTCTTGACTAAGTCGATCGTTTCGATTTTATTTTCTCGATACCTGGCTACAATGCCACTATTTGTTGTCGCGCTTATATACTTGTTGCAATCGTTCCACTTAGAAACCTCACGACAGGTCCGCCTCCTCGAAAGCGAGGCCATAGCTCGATTGTACACACGCTTCATCTAATCTGTCGCCGGCGCATGTACTATTCGCGCCTTTGATTGTCAGTCACATTATCAAGGACGCAACCACCAGTTGGTCGATCAAATGCAACGTTCAGCCTATCTATAGTATTGCATTCTAAGGTTGGCTCGGCTTCAACCTGGACATACTTCTCGCAATCGTTGCAATAGTGTTGGTAGCTATTGTAGTGAATTGAAAACATAAGTTCTCTGCCGGTAACGTTGGTGTTTCGCTTGCCATGGTAACGACATTCAGCTCTGTTCTTATGAGCGAGTAGGAAGATGGCAGCAGCCACCAGGCCGAATTAGCGTCGGACTTGCCGACACAACGCAATATCGAGTTCAAAAGTCTGGTAGCTGCTCATTCTCTTGGTATGGAGCCGGTGATCATGGGTATCTCGTTCTCCATCAAACAATCAGAGCATGTCGCCCTATGCGGAGGTTCCGGTTGCGGCAATACCGTGAGTATAGAAGCCGTTGACTCATCGATCGAAGACTGGACAGCTAACATGGTATAAAGTCTGCTATATTGGTACTTCTGCAGATGATTAAGACGCGAGGAGGTCAGATCACCGCTAACGGAGTCGATGTCTCTACCATGTCGTGCAATGATGTCTGTTCCCACCTCAATTGTAGTGCCTCAGGATCCACTTCTCGTACCTGGAATGACACGTTTCAGCATTGAACCTTTTGCAAAAATCTCGGACGAAGACATTTTTCTGGCTCTAGAGCGCGTCCGACTCTGGGTGATCATATCAGAGCAGGGCGGCTTGAGTAAAGATATGGACCTGACTACGTGGTCAGTGGGCCAGAAACAACTATTGTGTTTTGCCCAGGCCATATTTAGAAACTGTAAAGTATCGATCCTTGACGAAGCCACTAGTATGTGAGCCACGTAGAGCTAAATTCAAAAAGTGCAGTAACATCAGGACTAGCATACGAATAGTGTCGATGACGAGGCGGAAACATCCATGCAGAACAGCATCGACACGACCTTCAAAGACTGCACTGTCCTTGCGGTTATGCACCGTCTCACACATATCACTCGGTATGATAAAGTTGCGTTGCTTGATCACGGCCACTTTATGGGATTCGATTCGCCGGAGACATCACTGGCCCAAGGGTTAAGGTTTCTAAGGTTGTATCGTACCAGTGCTACGCAGCCGTAAAGCTATCATGGCCAACAATTCTCCTTTTCTTGATGTCCAGGAAACACTATGTACGGTTCGTCTTCATTACCACGATTGATCATTTTTGAATTCGTAAACTGTTTACGAAAGAAACTGCGCTTTTTTCTCAACATCTCTTAGTGGACGATATCCGACTTGGTTCTGAGCTCTGGAAACATCTCTTACAAAGTCCCAGTCATCAAGAGAAAGCTATAGCTTTCTAATCATTTATGTGTTCACAACCCATGAAGGAAAACCAGAGTTGCTTTTGCTCTTCTTCCATCTCTTCATACAGTTGTTACCTTCTCCTGCACAGCTGCTCGAGCCAGCATCTGAATTGATAATGCTTGACTTTTTGGGTTTATCTGATGGAGGCTCACTTGAAGGGTCGGGCGATGGTTGATGATGGCTTCTTTCGTTATGAAGGTGTGCTTTGTGCTAGTGACCTTTCGAGGGTTTGGCTTTACTACGAACTTGGTACTTGCACTCTCAGACACTGTTACAACTCTTCATTTGAGGCAAATACATCCACGAGGTGGGCAAAACGTTCGTATGGTGGTTGAGCTATCTACTTGTTATCCGTCCACACTTCACTCTCGAGAAGTGGGACCAGACTGCTCTGCTTGATCTTCTTTCTGAGGGTTGTGTCAACAAAGTTCATAATGTCCGGCGCGCTGAGTCAGTTCTTCTGAACGAGATATACAAGCCATATAAATCGCGATGCTTCTGTGGAACAAGATTTGTCTTCATCATGATCCATAAACATGGGTACAAAGATATCACAGAGGTAGCTTCCTTTTCTCGCTCCAAAGCTCCTTGTCGCGCGATGGGGAACCAATCAAGATTTATTGATGCACCAAAATGATGTACTTCTGATGATTTGGTTATCATTAATTGAATTCTCTGAGCAGGGCCTGTTCGCCAGTACTCTAGGTAGTCTTAGAACTTTACTTCAATTATCCTCATGTACATGATACTGTGTATATCGGTTGTTCCCCCAATCATCACATGTCTTCCCGACAATCAAAGTATTCGGAATCGTCATCGTCGTCGAAGTCATCCTGGCAGTCATAGTATACTTCATTAAAATCATCATCAGAGTCGGCATGTATGTCGAAACGAAGAGCTTCTGCGCTGGGAGAAGGGTCAACATTGCGTTGCCAGAAACTTTTGTAGTCAGCAGGCTCGCAGCCAGCCTTCAGGGTTGTCATGCAGAAAAGACAAGCGAGAATCTGACAATCGGGACATCGGAAGGCGTAAGTGCTGGGTGGCCATGCACAATATGTGCAATCGATAGGGCCAGGACATCTGTCCCACGAGCTTTCATGTCCACATTTTCCCTCCGGTTCCATCTTTTTGTTGGCCTCTTCCTGCAGTTTTCTCTTCTGAATTTGCTCCTCGGTCGCGCGATCCTCTGCCATTCGTCTCTGTTCAGCTGCCTCCGCCTTCTTTGCTTCGTCTGCTAAGTGTGCCTGTTTCTCGGTGAAATTTCTCATGCGTTGCCGCACTTCCTCCATTCGCGCGTCCCATTCTGTGTCGCGTTGCTTTTGTGCTTCTGCCTCAACTCTTTCTTTGGCAAGCTTTTCCTGGCGCAACTGTTCTTCCTGCGCCTCCCACTGCCTCTCTTCTTTCCGCTCGGCAGCGAGCCTCGCATATTCTTGACCTCGTCGCCTCAGCAGATCAAGCTCCAGTCGACCTAGACGTGATTCGTCCTGCTGGAGCTGTTGCTGTCTGAGCTTCATCATGGCCTCGGCTTGGAGCATCTGCCGCTGGAGTTCATCGGTATTCATCGCTATACCAGCGCGCCACTGTACATGAACCGCAAAGTGTCTTGTGGTACTCTGGAGCTTCGCAGCTAAAGCGCTGATCTCACTTTGTAGGCTGTGTATGTGTTTTCGAGACTGACGAATGCCTGCTTCCTGAGCCTTTTCGAAATGAAGCCATGCTTGTCGCTGCTTGTGACTTTGAGCTCGCGCTCTGGCATTGTGTTCTGATGTAGGTGATGGTCGCGGAGAAGATTGCCAACGCCAGTGTGCAGTACTTGTCGGCTTTGTCACATCTGGTCGACTGTCCTTTGATTGAGATTCACGTCTTGGCCATAGTCTGTCGTAGAGCTTCCTTTTCGAGCTGTCTTTGAGGATTTCCCAAGCGGCATTGATCTACATGGGTTGGTCAGTAGCCCAACCGTCGAGACGAAATATGACCCACTTGTTGAGTCCTTAAAGTGGAGGTTTGTGATCCATTGTTCTTGTCAGGATGATATAGTCGCGCCAGACGGCGATACGCAGTCTTGATCTCCTTGAGAGTTGCACCTGGAAGAATTTCTAATACAGAATAGTGGTCTTCGGTTGGAGCTGAGACTGCCATGGCTTTTGCTACACTCGTCTTCTTGTTCTCCAGAGAAGTCGGAATCTGACTTGTGTTGTGAGGAATGGGCACAGTGTTGACCCCTGCATAAGCGGTGTGCGTTGGCAGTTGAGCAAAGCAAATACGCTAAACACGCACCAACGCCTTCCGTTGACGTTGACTGGGCAACAACTAAAGAAAGCAGGAGCAAACGAGAATAATGAGAACCAAAGCAAAATCAATTACCAAAAGTAGTACATGCTTATGGATAGGGTATCATCTGGCTGGCAAAGAGAGCGGCAGATGGCCCGTCCTCTGTTCAACGGAATCAGGACCACATTGGAATACAAATACCACCTCGTCTTTCGCGTTATCCAATGCTGGACGAACAATGCACTAGTGGGTATTTTTCCCAACTACACATCTAGATGCATGGCAAATCAAGCTCATTTCACGCCACGTTCTGGCCCCACGCACTGACCACCTCACCAGTGTCACCACTGCATGATATCGCTCCACGACCAGGCCAGTGGTAGTTTTTCAAATGGCAAGAAACGGAAAACTCGAGTGCCATACTCCCCAACAGGGATCCAGATACGGCCACTAAGTGATGAGGGTTCTGCAATAAGGATGGCAGTCCATAGTGCTATGCCAGTCAAGCCTCTTGGCAAGACGGCAGGAGAGACCTCCAGCAAGACACTCTGGTCCTACCGCTGTGCTCATCGTTGAAGGAACTGAGCTACAAGCAAGACAAGTGTTACTATGAGAAGAGGTCGGAGACAGCCTAGATCCAGAGTACCACGGGTGGCGTGATCCATTTTGTGACAAGAGCTTGGGCAGTTCGTGCGTGGAAGGGTTGAGTAATCGGTCTGATAGGGAGGATATCCGCAACAAAGAAGAACGGTCACATTTCAACCCTCCTTCCCGCCCTCGGCATGCTCGTGATCGTGATGCACATTCAGATGCAGTATCTTCTTCATATGGTCCACGCCTTTCCCCAGATGGGGATGACGTTCGACAAAGCCTCCGTGATGTCCATTGACAGCAGTCAGCGCAATGCTACGCTTCTTGCCGGCAAGAGGATCCAGGGCTGTGGCGCGGGGAGGCCATTCATTGGTGTCTTTCCAGCCTTGAACCAGTGCATTGGTCATGTCGGCCAGGTTGATGGGGACAGAGGGTGTGCGCGACGAGACGACGATCTTCTGGAAGATGTCGGGATACGCGTTGGTGGTGATGGATGCGCGAATGGGATTGTCGCCGAGGAGGGGTGTGGCGACGGGAACAACGTCGAAGGTAGCCAGCGGGGTCGTGTGTGGAGGGGGCGGCGATGCTGCTGCGACGGGCGTGGTTTGCTCTCCAGGCAAGTCGCGAGGTGCGCCGTTGATGTGTGTGCGAGTGCCGTACTTCTGCACGCTCGCCGCACCAGTCCATAGGTCCCTTCTCTCAACCCACATGCGCAGGCCCTCGTTTTCCTGCATCTCCCTCTCCAGCCGCTCCCTGCGCCTCGCCTTGCGCGCCTCCCGCGTATTGTTCACGGCGGTCCCGATGCTCTCTGGGCTGTCGAACCTATACGGGCCCGTACTTTCCCCCTCATTGCCCGAGGCGCTCGACTCAGAGTCCCCATAGTAGCGCTCGCGGAAGTCTTGCGCGTCGCGCACTTCCTCGTCAGAAGCTGACCATGCGGGCGGCGGATGTGGATACGTCCAGTCGTTGCGTATGCGATCGTCGAGGAAACGCTTGGCTGCGCGTGCTGCTGACTGGTTAATTTCCATGGCCGGTGCTGAGGCGGGCCGTTGGAAGATGCGAAACGAGCGGAAGCTACAACGAGTGGGTAGCGAGGCAAAACAGTGGGTATGGCAAAAGACAGCGGTGACTCGTTGTGAAGCTGGAGATGGTGTGAGAGTCTTGACGAATTTGCGCCTACATCATGTGCGCGTCGTGACGTCTGCCTGCAGACGAGGTGGGGGAATCCGTCTGTGTTGCAAACGGGTAAGCGTACCGTCCCTGCGTCTTCTTTCATCACCACAACACGAGTCATTGTTTGATGGAGTTTGTGTCAATGCGGACGTTTACTCTAGCAAATGAACCATATGTATGCCCTTAGATAGCATGGTCACAAGCTACACATAACCAGCGGCACAATGATTTCCTCCAATCAATCATTTTACACCTGTGTAATGCATACCATACTGTCCACTTGCAACATCAAACTCACTTCTTCTTTCCCTTGGCAGCAGCCTTGCCCTTACCCTTCGCTTTGGGTTTGACTTCATCGTCCTCGTCTTCATCCTCGTCCTCGTCGTCCTTGGCCTTCTTTTTTGCGGCTTTCTTTGGCGCCGCTTTTTTGCCTGCCGCCTTCTTCTTCGGCTGCTTCACGTACTTGTCCTTTGAGAGATCCCCTTCCTCATCTTCCTCCTTGACTTCCTCAATCACTTCGCCATCATCTGATTCCTCGATCGCTTCTTCGAGATCAGGCTTCTCTTTAGCTTGCTTCTTGGGCGCAACAACCGAGGTGGCTTTCATGAATGGTAGGGGGTGAGATTGCTGATTGTAGCTGAGATGTTGTTAGTCCAGGTCCATCACAAACACATTGCCTTGCCGTCACTTACAGTCGCGTGAAGGTCGCTTTAGCCTGCGTCTCAATCTTGATCTTCTCTTGGTCCATGAAACCCACACCCAGCTCCATGATTGCATCGAAGTCATCCTTCGTCAAGAAGTAACTGTCCATGAGATCAATGATCGCTGGGACAGCGTCTTTGCCGTCTTTCTGAAGTTTCTGAACCAATTCAGTCCAAAGCACTGGAATATACTGTTGCCGAACCTCATGTCGATCACCGGAAGATCGCAGTCGCATATGGGCTTGAATTTCCTTGACCATTCGACTAAGCTTGTTCGTACTACTGTTTTTGCCTAGCCATGACGTAAAGCGAGTCTGGTTACCGGCTGTGCTACCAGCGACGAAACTTGCAGGTCTGACGAAACTAAAGACGGCGTGAGTGGGCATCAAGCTCCACTGCTGCTGAGAGCCGTGGATCATACGATCGACGAGGTCACCATCACTGATACTATCCGCCGCGTTAGACGCAAGCTCAAGCATCTTTAGATTCTTTTCCTTGCCAGAGTAATTGAGAGCCTGCATCGGATTGGTGCCGAGGTAGTTCTCCTGCAGCATGAGGGGACTAAATTCATGGTCGTTGAAATAGAGCTCAATCTTCTCATTCAGCGTGGCCTTGCTGCTAGCAGCAAACATACCACCGCCAAGAATCTTTTGAGTGATATCCCATGGCTTCAGGATGACGTGTTTCTCCCAGTTTTTCGACATCTGTTTGCCCTTGTCAAAATCCATGGCAGCTTCGTCTAGCTTGGCGGTCGAGATCATATTGACAACTTGTCGGATATCAGCATGACTGCCTTCGATCAACGCGTTTATGACGGGCGCTGGCATCTTCAAGCCTTCTCGGTACGCGATTGTCATGATTCGAGAGCGAACTTGGTCGACTGTTGGCCGTCGGAAAGGCAGGTCGTAGGTGACAAAGTCAAATGGTTTCATCTTGGGTAACTTTCTGTCGTTGCAGATGAGAATCATAGGTATTTCCGTTTTCTTGCAAACCGCAGCAAGCGCTCCTACACCTCCTCGATCACCGGCTGACATACCATCGACTTCATCCATGATAAAGACAAGCTTCTTCTTTGATGCGTCGACCTTCTTGCCGTCGCCAGCGAAGTAGCCGTGGAGTGAGTTCGTGCTGAGCACACCTCGCAGGCCCTCCTCGATGAGTTTTTTGCTTCGAGTATCACTGGCATTTCTCTCCACAATATCGTATCCTTCGAGCTTTGCTACGAGATGGGCTGCCGTGGTCTTGCCGATACCTGGAGGCCCGTGTAGCATAACAGCGCGAAACACACCACTGCCATCTGGACCAGCAAGCTTGAATCCGGTTTTGAGGTTCTTTGGAAAGCGCTGCAACCATCGCTGGATCTTTTCTACGGTAGCTTTGTTTCCGCAGATCTGATTTAACGATGTTGGCGCATATTTGGTTGTCCATAACCGCGAATCGACTTCAGGCTCTGTACTTTTTGTGGCCGCTGTGTCAGCGGAGTTAGACTTGCGACCCGCAGCAGCCTCTACGGCCTTCAGCTCTTGCACACGGCGCTTTTCTTCTTTCTCAATTTCAGCGGCTTGCTTCTTGATAGCCTCTTCTTCCTTGCGTTGCTTTTCTTGGTAGGCTGCTTGTGCTTTGGAGTCACCCTGGTTGCCAGCTGCTGTTAGCTTCTCTATGAGGTCCGCAAGCCCATCCTCATTGATGGTCTTGATGCTCATATCTCTGATCTTCTGCAACTTGCTAGGACCAGCGTCTTCCCCGAGTACAACAAAACTTGTCTTCTTGCTCGGAGCGCCCGTAACTTTGCCACCATGTCGCTTGACAAGCTCTTGTGCCTCTGTGCGACCCCACTTCTGCAAGACACCAGTGAAGACAAAGTTCAGACCAGCCAGACATGATTCTGATCCTGAGGGCATTTCACCAGAGGATCCTCCCAGGGGTGCAGGTTCTGAGCGTCCCGCGTTTGCCCTGAAGTCGAACTTTGCATTGGGGTCTTTCGGGGGTGGCGTAGGCGCACGCACTGTTGCAATACTGTCATAGATAGCTTGGATATCCGCATTTTCGGCGACCTCCTCCTTCTTCGCCTTCTTCTTTGCAGGAGATTTTGCTGGGGTGGTCTTTTTTGCGCGGCTCTTTTTTGGTTTCTCATCCTCTTCCTCGTCATCGTCGTCGTCCAGCTCTGGCGATTTACGTTTTCGGCTTGCAGCCGATGTCTTCTTGGGTTTGCTCTTGGAGACCTGCTCTTCTTCGTCCGGTACAACAAAGTCATTGTCTGCGTCCACATCCTTCATGTCCACATCCTCGTCGGCGTTCTCGGGATCAAAGTCATCTTCATCCTTGATCTTCTTTTGCTGCTTGGCTGGTGCCTTTGGAGTTCCGCGATGTGGCAGTCTGACGGGCTGCTCATCGTCGCTATCCGCGAGCTCCACGTAGTCGTCCTTGGCCTTGACGTTTGCTCCAAAGATGTCCTCGGCGTCCTCAAGGTCATCGTCGGGAAACTCGTCATTACCCTCCTTCTCTGCATACGAGGTGATGGGTTTCTTGGCCCTCCCAGACGCTCTACCATTGGAAGCTGATGTGGTTGGCTTTGGTCCTTGTCCGTTTGCCTTTGCTGGTGGCTCCTTGGGCGTGGCTTTCGGTGTCTCTGCAGGCTTCGTCTTAACAGGGTCGGATCGCTTAGGCTTGTTTGAGCTTGCAAAGAAGGCAGAGGTCGTCGTTTCTTCGAGTTCAGGTGTGGGCTCTCGTTTCACCTTCTTCGGCGGTGGTTTTTTTGGTGTTGCCTTCTTGGGTCTATCCAATGGTCAGCTTTGGACGTCACTGTGCGAATTGGCAGTGGTCTCACTTGACGTCTGCTTCCTCATCGTCGTCAGAGTCGTCAACGACTACTCGGGCTGCTCTGCTGGTTTTCTTCGGCGCCGCTTTCTTGGTTACTTTCTCCTCGTTCTGGCTCCCACTACCCTGGCTCGCCTTGGGTCCGCCGCCAAAGAAATTGCGAATGTCGGCAGGCATCGTGCGTACGAAGGCAATGAACGACGCTGCCGATGATGAATTGCACACACGGCACGGCGACTGTGAGGCGGCAAAGGGTGGTGGTGGTGGCGGCTGTTGTGGTTGCAAGTGGCAGGCGGCGTTGACAGGCACGACGCGCTCGCGAAGTCATTAGGCAACGCCGCGACGGACGCGACTGCCTGCACCAGCCACAGAGGCCACCAGCCACAGCTTGGCGCCCAAGAACTTCAATGTTGGAGCGACATGCGCATCGTCCCGAAGCACAACGACAAGATGCCGCCGCCGCCGAGGATACCGCAGAGCCTGGTCACGCAGCTCGGGCACATGAGCCTGTCCGCGCGACCGAGATGTACATGGCACGCCCATACCCGATGAACAGCCTCTGACAAGCACAGTGCTACAGCAACCATGCCTTCCCCGGTGCCAGTTCCTCGTGCCCGCAGTCCACAAGCCTTCCGTCCGTGCCTTTTCGTCGTCCCCCTTGCTGCTCAACTACCTCGCCCCCAAGGGCGGTGAATCGCGTAAATCTCGCAAAGGCCGCTGCCGTGTTCCAACTGGTGGCAGCACTCGCGGGACTACCGTCGTCTGGGGCGACTACGGACTGCGCATGAGGGACCACGACCGCCGCATCAGCGCCCACCAACTCCGCATCGCCGAGGAAACTATCCGGAAGCGCCTCAGGGGTATGAAGTTTCGCCTGTACATGCGCATTGCAGCCAACATTGGTGTCTACACGAGTGGAAACGAGAGCCGTATGGGAAAGGGAAAGGGTAGTTTCGACCGATGGACGGCAAGGGTGGCAGTGAGCAAGATCATCTTTGAGATTCAGGGAGATTTGCACGAGCAGGTTGTAAAGGACGCCTTCAGGCTTGCGGGAAACAAGCTGCCTGGTAAGTTGATGTCGAGTCGAAACTGATAGATAGAGCATTACGCTGACACCTCACCAGGCCTGTACGAGTTTGTGAGGAAGGGCGATCCACCCGTCATGGGTCTGACCAAGGTCGGGCTGAATGGCATAACGGAAGAAGACTTGAAGAGACCTCGGAGGAAACTACCTCTCGAGGAGGTGGCCGCAAGCTTACCAACTGCATCGTCAGCGCCAGCGCCAGCTGCAGCATAGATTTGTACAACGTCTGTTATGAATACACCTGTGGCAATGCGCAATCCGTTTTCCACGTATCGGACCATTAGCACTTTGGCAGGTAGTATGATGGAATCATGAGTTCGCCCACATGTCATGCGCACAATTACATACTACCCAGAAACCCCTCCTCATGCCTTATACAATGTGTCCAAAAATCCCTTTGCCAGATCAACGACAACACTTTTGTTCGGCAAGCTCCCCGCAACTCCATACAACGCAGCCGTATCTCCCTTCACGGCGCCCTTTGCTCCCTTGCCCTCGGCGATCCGTTTCCGTTCCTGCTCTCTCACATCCTCCGTAACCTCGACTAGATCCTCAATCAACTTATCCACCACTGCGACAATTGGCAACGTGACAGCGACGTGAATAGCCGGCGGGTTCTGCAACGCATTCAGATGCCATCCCTTCGCTGACATGCCGTCTGCAATGTCATATATGTCAAGCGTGTTAGATAGGAAAGACACGACGGAGACAAGGGGGCGTCCGATGACTTTGAGATCGGATGCGAGCTCTGGCTTCTCGCGGATAGCACTTTCTATCCTCTTCATGCCGCCGACGATCTTGTGACACGCGTCGATATACCCGTTTTCGCCCTGCTTCACAAGACTCGCCCAGCAGCCTGCAATCAAGGCGCCAGGGCGGGACCCCGCAATGGAAGGCGAGGCATAGACGCCACCAGACCAGTCGGGCGAGATGAAGTATTGGTACTTACGATAGTCATCAGAGCGGTATAGTACTGTTGAATTACCTTTAGGTGCAAAGCCGTACTTGTGCGTGTCACACGAGATGCTGGTCACGCCTTTGAGACGGAAATCAAAGGGCTCAAACTCGAATCCAGCTTTGGGGAGCATGGGAATGATGAAAGAGCCTAGGCAGCAGTCTACGTGTAAGGGCAGTTTCTTCTTGTACGCCAGTTTGCTGAGCCCCGAGATGTCGTCAATGATTCCGTGGGGGAAATTGGGCGCTGAGCCGACGAGAAGGACAGTGTTTGGGTTGATGAGTCGTGAAACGGAAGACAGATGGACCTTGTAACTCGGGGCCTTACAGTCGACGAGATGGATCTTGATCTTGAAGTACTCTCCTGCTTTGCGGAATGCTGTATGTGCAGTTTCAGGGAGGATCATCTCAGGATTCGTTACGCCACGCTCGTTGTACGCTTTGTTGCGCGCAGAGAGACAGGCCATGAGGATGGACTCTGTGCCGCCTGATGTTGTGACGCCGACTGCGCCTTCGGGGGCGCTGAATAGGGAAAGGACCTGTTCGTTGTCAACCCACGCGTCCCACGTCCTACACGAGACATCGTCATACCATGGCAACAACCTCAGCCTCCATCTTCCTCACGCCGGGGAACACATCCGGATGAATGGGGTTCGCGACGGTAAACTTGCCAAACGCCTCCGTCTGCAGGCGGATCAACTCTTCCCCGCCATGGTACACAGCGCCGCTGACCCTCCCGTCTTCCCATCTCGTATGCGCCATGTCGGCCAACTCGGTCAACTTCTTCCTCACGTCTTCTTCGCTCCATCCCTCGGTCGGCAGGCTGGTGATGCGCTCGACGCCTGGGCCACTGGGCACGAGCTTGCGTTCGAGCTTGAGCAGCGTTTCCGAGACCTGCGTCTGGACCTTTGTGCGCACGCCGGGGAGACGTAGAAACACGCCGTACAGGTAGCGGCGGACGGCGATGTACAGGGCAGACAGCGAGCCGAAGATGCCGCGGCCCTTGAGCTGGTAGAAGAGGACGCGGGTCCAGCGCAGGAGGAAGAGGGTGAAGACGATGTTGCGCAGTCTATGTCATGCTGTCATCAGCTTCTGGTCAGACAGCGTGTGCTCAGCAGGGTGCGTGGCCTACACATCAATGTTCAGCGCAACAAGCCGGCCGTTGGCGGTGCTCTTTCGCGCATTGAACGTGTCGCGTAGACTGACGGGCAGACGCGACGAGCCGGGCATCTTGTCCTTTGCGTCACCGGCAGGCAGTGCAGACGTTGCTGGTCATAACAGAGAACGGAGGGGGGCGGAACGGATGGCAGGCCTTCACATGTCACATCATGCTCGTCCGACGGCCGCCACTGCGCTGCCAGGTTAGACAGCCTCGGCTGCCACGCTGCTTCCGGAAGCTGTGGGGCATCGCCGCTAACACAACGTGAATGTTTCTGGCTGATCTTGCGAGCACATGTGTCGTGTCTTCAATCTTCACACTTCTACGTCTGCGCGTGCCACCGTCCATGCGCTCCCATGGCAAACAGCGGCATCATGGCGCCGCAATCGTCGCAACGATACGAATCACCATCCATCATCTCGTCGTCTTCAGATTCCCAACAGTGCTCATCAGCAAACCCACCCTCTTGAGATGCAGTAGGTATATCTTCAGACCCCGTCCTGATCGTCAATGCATGTGGCACTGCTGCGTCTCGGGACTCTCTCTCTACTTTTGTCAGGACTTCAGGTGCTTCTTGCACTTCTTCTTCTTCGTCCACCCTCCATTGCCTCAATACTTCATCCTGGTGCTTGAACATCTTGCCAATATCTCTCCCGATGCCTCCTCTCTCACTTGATGCATCCACAATATTGGTAGCAGCAACATTTACGAGGCTGAGATTCCAGCCATGCTTTTCAGGGTGTAGTCTGCGAAAGAGAGGGACCAACGTCTCAAAGACTAGTCTCTCGACCAATGCATCCGTACTGTCCTTTAGATTGAACACAAAGTTTGGCATGGGTGCCGCTCTAGAAATACGTCCAAAGGACCGATTTCGGCTGCCGTCAGGGTTCTGTGGCGAACGTGGCCGTGTTGATAGACGAATCGTTTTAGGGTGGGCAACCCAGCGCTTGGAAGTTGTGGTGGGACTAGCAGATGCACCCTCAAGTACTGCGCCATCCTCGCCCTCATCTTCAAGCAGGTCCCTGTGCATCCTGTTGATCAAGCTCTTTGCCAACCTCCGGAGCTCTTTGATGACTTTGTCGAGCGTGTCTAAGCGGCCATAACTGTCCTCTATGCTGATCTGTTTAGGCACTTCGCGAGCTTGGCCAACTTCCGTATTGTCACAGCCATTGAGCAGACCCCATACTTTGATGCCAGTGCCTTGCGGAACGCCAGGTCCTTCTAGGATACGCCCCAGTGTTTCTGGGCCCATGCCAGGGTATGTTCTTACATCACGGACCAAGACAGTCTCTTTTATTCCACTGTACACAAATCCAGCAGCCAAATCTGCCGATCTTCCTAACACATGAGAGCGGATTTTCTGTGCGATTTTGAAGCCGATACCTGGTATCTTACCAACTTCGTGGGTGTCGACAAAAGTAGTAACATTGTCCGGCCCATCATTGTCCTTGAAGTGGTACGGCGGCAGCAATGTGGTCTGATTGTTTGGTTTATGAACGTTGCCAACAAGCTTGGCAAGAAGCTTGTTTGTGGAAATACCAACAGTAGCCGTGTAACCTTTCTCAGATTCAAGCTCTCGTCGTAAATGCTGGGCTAAGTGGCTTGCTAGGCCTAATCGAAGTCGCAGAGGATCCAACGAGAGAGTTTCTGCTGCAGCTTAGCGCTGTAATCCAAGAAGCACGATGAACCATGGCCGGCGCGTACGATGCGCAATGTCAGGTACTGTTGGTCCCACGAATCTGGTTCGAGCGTTACAAGCGCCGATGTTCCTAGCGGTGCTGAAGGGCGGTTGGGGAATCTTAGCCGCAAATCACCTCAGTGGTCAGACTGCAAATTCTATGCCCCGCGATTCCTGTCTGGAAGCGGAAGAAAAGTCCTAACGTTGCATCATACGCGCCGGCAATGCAATGCTTACCTGGAGTGTCGTCGGGGCTTTCTGGATAGGTAGGGCCAGCCAGTAGAGTAGCGTCAAATGAGAAACCAACCGTGGGATCGTTCTTGGAGAGACAAAAGAACGAATTGGCGAAGTCATTCGGATTCAAGGTCTCGATATTGTAATCGACGATGTCTGACACGTCCATAAATACCTAGACCACTCAATCACTATTCGCTGATGGTCTGGATACGTGAGTGAACCGACAGAGGTCGGAGAAAGTGCAAAGGCAAACATGAAGAGGTCATACCAAAGCTGACTGTGGACGAAACATACCTCGTCAAAGCCCAATCGTTCACAGCGCGAGTTCCAAGAGTATGCTCTCAAAAAGCCACACAGCTCCTTTGAGGCATTTCTGAATCGTGTAAGATCCTCGCCTAGTACAATGACGACATCTGGACAGATTTTTTTGGCCTCGCTGATGAGTTGCAACTTGTGTAAGCCCTGAGTAAGTAAGTTAGCGGACTGGCGCGGCTGGTGTCGTGTCTCTGCTGTGGTCCTCTTTGAAATAGATACGAGGTTTGCTGCGCTCTGTGGGTTCGGGAAGGTTGGGCTTCTGTGCATTGGCCAAAACTGCCGTCAAGACATGTCTTATTCATCCACCAAGACCTTCAAGTGTTTTGTGTGTACTTGAACGAGGACCACAGCAATGTTCCGGGCAACACCATGGAACTGGCGACAAGGAGAGAAACGTACTCGTCGACGGGCCTCATAATTGCATGTGACCAGAATCTGTTTCTGCTGCACAGCCAGCGGCACCGACTTGAGATGTGGGTTTTCCTGCTCGAAAACACTGGCGTAGAAACAGTCCTGTGCAGATGATGGAACGCGTAAGCTGTATGCGTCGAGTGGAGCTGTGTAGTGATTGGCCGCGGTAACTACCTACATAATCCTACATGCGGACAAGGCATGTTAGCATCGCTGAAATGCGATCCGGCGATTACGACAACAGTAAGGCCGGAGCAGAACGGCGCAGTCTTCGGGCTGAGTACAGACATGGCACAGGCACGGGTTGTGTGGGCTTTTGTGCTTACAAAATGAATGATGGTCGGTTCCAACTGCCGCCTCAGTTTCTTCCGTGAAGCGACGCCGTCCATGTCGCGACTGCAGCCAGACAGAGCAAGCCTCGAAACGCAGATGAAGCAGCGTACTTGTGTAGACGCCAAGCAGGGTCGGGCAGACGGTTTCATTGACCATAGGCGCGGGTCTAGTTGCTTTTGCCACGAGAGAAGCTATTTTAGGCTAGGGCTATTTTTGGGACCTGGTGGCAGCGAACGCGCACCACTCCAAGACAGCAAGCCCTTCGCGGGTGGGTGCAGGCTGCCTGTTGTGCCCACATGGTGTATATAGCGACTGGCCCCCGCAGTCGCCCATGGAGCTTCTTGGTTTTGCGTCCGCCATACACGCCATCGCCGTAGTCATAGTCCTATCCCGCCTGCGCCATAGTCATATCCTGTCAGCAGCCTCTCCGCCCTGCAACACGAGACACTTGCTCGCTGCGTACACGAGGCCCTCAAGACCCTGACGGCTCCCCTCGCCTTTTGCTCGACGACATCACGGGGCCACCCTCTGCTCGCATGATGATGTCGACCATATCACACTCGATGACTCCCGCCTTCAGCCCATCACCTGCCCCGCCGTCCAACATGACCACCGCCCTGCCTATAATACCGCCGCGTCCAGCAGGCATCCAGCGCCCCAAGCTCCAGATTGATACACAGCAGTCGCGCACATTTGGAAAAGGCGCCAGCTTGCGACTCGAAACCTTGAGCGCCATATCACCGACAGTGCGCAACACCTTTTCCAACGCCTACCAACAGCAGCAGCAGCAACCACGACCGCAGCCGCAACCACAACTCCTCCAACAACACCCAGCACCACCAGCACCGCCACAGCCATCTGCTGCGCCCGCGCCTGGCCCCCGGCGCCCCGCCAAGCCACAGCTCTCACTCGACAGCAACCTCACCAACACGAGCAGTGCCTCGACGCCAAGCTCAGCCTCGACCCTCTCCTCCACTCTCACGTCAGCGTCCAGCGACTCGGCCACCACCTCCATACCCTACAAGCAGCCCCACAATTTGACGTCGATCCTCGCCAACAGCCCTGTCAAGTCGATTCTGCCCCGCAAGATGGCGTCTTCAAGGCCCATGTTCCCAGCAGAGAAGCGTGTCTCCTTTCGCACTCCGCTGGAAGAGCACATCACTACTGTCAAGTACACTCTCGCCCACTCAGACATTAGCTCTTCCACCTCCACACTGCTGTCTCTCGCAAGTACACAGTCGTCCGACTCCGACATCTCAACCATGAACCTCTCAACAACCTCCGACTCATCTTTCCAGGCACCCACTCTACTTGTGCAGCCGCCTTGTGAAAAGACAACTTCTGCCAACTCAACTCTGGAGAGCCCACCTCGGCCAAAGGGCCCGCGGGCTGGAGACAAGCGAGACTCATCCTCCTCGGAAGACGATAGTGACTCTTGTCCCGAAACCCCTGTTGCTGGGCGACGCAAACTCACAAGAGACTGGCGGTGGACTCTGGCTCCGCTTTCTGGAGATTCTGGCAAGTCAACACCGTCAACAAGCGACGCTGGGACGAGTGAGGACAGCAGTTGATTTGCGACACTCTGTCGTGATAGACCAAACGTTCATGCATTATGCACGTCAACACTAGAGGACATCACGATTTAGCTGCACACATGGTTTTGGCGTTTTTTTTATATTAGCATTTGGAGGTGTTGTCTGTTTCATGATACCACTTTGCATCATCATATTGGGAAGACATCTAATCACATCGTATTTACGTCGTACTTTGTACATGCATTACACACATCTTGGGAGCACATCCCGAACACGAGCACCGTAAGACAAGAAGGCGATAGGGTCTTTCGTGTCTATACGCACATTTTATGTGTTCGAATCAAGAGACTGGTCAGCACAACGGATGTATTGACATGTTGTGTTATGGTTTCGCAAACTCTGTAGCAGGTCTGGCACCTTTTGCTTCAATGACCAAGTAGACTCTCATGTTTTGATCTAACAACTGAGACAAACTCATGATACCAACCCACTTCTCCGTTGCCTGTCGTGTTTGCTCTTGGTTCTGTTTGCAACATAGTTGACACACGGCCCACCTTGAATGTCGATCTGCGACTAACCATGGTCTCAGTATTCTCACAATCTAGACCACTTCCAAAAATAGACAGTGCTCGACTATGCTCTGATTGGTCTTGTTGAGCAGTTCGATTAATCCCGGGCCAATGAATGCAGGGCATGGTTGACTGCGGCTGGAGCTGGTGGGGCAAATATTCCACTTCAACAACTACCGTGCCGTACTCCTGAAGTGTACATATGGTCATTGCCTAACTCCGAAGCCAATTTCTGCACGGTGGAGATTGTAGAATACGGTGAGCAAGAATAGAGACATGGATTGAAAACACTACTCATGATGATAATCTCGAACATGTACGAATGCATCCGAGCTCAGAATCGACCCAAGGTCTCATATCTCTATTACCCTTCCAAGCACCAACTGGTACATATTGATCAAGCTGAGAGGAAAGCACTATAACGTATAGAACCGGAAAAGCCAAAACAGACTGGACTATGTTATAAGTATCAATAACCATCCATCGTGGCAATGCTTCAACACATGAGAAGAACTCACAAGAGTAGTGAAATATATGCAAGCTACTAGAAACTTGGACGCCCTACGCATGGATACAATACTTGCGTAATTCTTCGATTGCAGGAGAATATCAACGCGAATGAGATTTTAGTGCTGACTGCGCCCATGTGGATCAGGAGCCTTAAAGTTCCTGATTCAAGGTCTTCGCGTCGTCCACTGCAGTCCTTGCGATTTTCTTCAAAAACGTTTTTAGATCCGCTTCACGGAACTTGTCCCATCGCTCCAGACCCTCACTCGCGTCAATCGATAATGTTTCATAGCCTTGCTTGATGACATCGCCCACTTCACTGGGGCTTAGATGCTTATTGCGTGATTTCCCTTTGTCGCCGCCATTCAGCAAGGTGTGATAGTGAGACGAGACGTTGATCAGAATTTGCATGGATCCAGTCTGGTTCGAGAGGCCAAATGTATCTCGGAACTTGACGAGCACATCCCCAGTCTCAACAAGTTTGTAGAATAGGTCGTCGTAAGAAGCTGGGTCGGGAAGAAAGTTTTCGCCGCTCGAGAGTGCAAAGGCCAATAAATTGACAAGAGTGTCAATCATCTGGGAAGATTTATAGGTTGACTTGATGTCGCTCTCGTACGTTGTTAAGAAGCGAATGAAGGATAAAAGAGTTCTCCAAAGCTCTGACCAGTGATATGCGGTTCTGACTTTGGCGCGGCTGAGGTACGATAAGACTCGAAGAAGAACCCCGAGTGTGAGACTGTTCTGGAATTAGCCACACAGTTTCTCGCAAAAAATCAATACTCACATGTAAAAGTCCATATCAAGTCGTCTGCGCAGGTTGTGATTAATGCCATCAACCATCAAGTCCAAAATAACAGCAGCAGGAACTCGATCACCCCTGGTCAACGGCAAGTATGGCTGTCTTTGGCGACAGAGTCGTACTGTAAGTTTGTTCTCGTCGCTACAGAGTCGTTTGACAAGCGCTTGATCCTCAACAAGTATTTGCAGTATAAAGAGGCTTAGGTACGTGTACAATGCAGATCTGGAGGATCGGTGCGCATGTTGAAATAGATATGAGGTCAACGAGAAAAACGCATTCAGGGGTGAGGCGTCGTCCTTTGTCTGTGGCTGTAGCGTAACCAGATTTGAGCAGAAGACCTTGTTCGCATTTGCAAAGTCGTAGGTGGACAGGAGTATACCAATCTCTGGACCCGGTCTGTTGTGAGTGTGAGCGAAGAAGACCTCATCCAAATGTGTGCAGACTTACAACGCAGCAAACAAGGATTTCGTCTCGTCGAGGGGTGGTGCCGGAGTGGAAGGCCGTGACCCGGGAGCAAGTACCCCGAGACCAAAGTAGCTCAGTGTGGAACCTAATGTCCACGCCTCAGGTATATCGTCCTGCACGGCTATGTATGCGTCCCTCAGCTGCAGACAGGTGGTTCCAAAGCACGTTATCATGTCCTGTATGATGGCGTCGTTGACGAAGTCATCCAGTCGCAGTCTGTAGGGATTCTGAAACTCGAACTTGTTGTAGTTGGCGAGTAGACCCAGAAGGTAAAAGGCCGGCAGGATCTGGGTATGGGTTTCACATTCTTGGATGTACTGGGACACCGTCAGCGTGTAATTGCTAAGCGAAGGTCTCATCTCACCTTCATGAGGGAGGGGAAAAGGTCGCGGTGGGTGAAGTAGGAGGGCAGGGCTGTGTGGAAGCCAGCAGCGGTTATGGACAAGGTGGCTTGGACGGCTCGGAGTCGCAAAGGTACTGTGTGCATGTATCAACTCAACGTTCGAGTGCATGCCTCGTGTCTCGACGTACTGCTGCGGCCACTGCGAATCACCACGTCCAGGGTCGCCACGAAGTCGGTCATGACGGCGTCTGCATCGTGCAGGCCGGCGAGGACGGATATGATGTCGGAGCTGGGGTTCGTGTACTTCTTGGCCAGGGCGGCATCTAGGAAGACGGTCAAGGTCTGGCGGGTAAGCCAACGAAGCTACTGTGCGCGTGGGCGGCATCGAACCTCGAGCGCGAAGTGGTCTGCTGGCGATTTGGCCTGCTTGACACGGAGAACGGCGCGGCGGACGAGCTGTTGTGAATGCGCCTGCTGGTGGAGCATGTCGTCGGGCGCTATGGGACGCAGTATGCGCTTGAGGCCCGCGGGGTCTGGCCGGTGGAGGAAGAACTCTTGCCAGAAGCCCTCGGACAGTTCGGCGTCGTCGTCTTCATCCTGGACGCGCAGTGAGCACTCTGTTGCGGCGTCGACTTGGAAGACGTACCTTGAATAAGGATTCGTAGAGGCGGATGATCTTGGGCTCGAAGACCTCTGGCCTGGAATCCTGCATCAGCGGGGAGGGCTCCATGGTCAATTCCAAGTATGCAGGAGTTCAATGCAAGCTTCAACAACAGTTTCCTCGAGATGTCGCAACATGTCGCAAAGCTACCCAGAATTAGGGACGGGCCGCTAGGCGATCGACACCGATGACATAGCCCCACCTACACTCACATGCGCGTCTTGATCCCTAGGTACCACGTTGTAAAGACTCTGCGACTGGGTTCAATAGGGCACAGTTGCAGTAGGGAGGTGTGTCTTGTCACATCGTCACATTCCTAGCAAACATGTCACAACTACCACCCCTCATCCTCGCCATCTCCGGCCCCTCCTCCTCTGGAAAGACAACCCTCTCCCGCCTCTTGCGCTCCCTTTCACCGGCGCAGACATCGATTTTGCACCTGGACGACTTCTACTTGCCCGACACTTCGATTCCCGTCAAAAATGGAATTCAAGATTGGGACTGCCTAGAGTCACTCGACCTGCCTCTTCTTGAAAAAGCGCTGCACACGATAAAAAGCACGGGGCAAACACCTGATTGGCTGGTTAGCAAAGAAGATCAGAACAGTGTCGGCGAGCATGGGGTGCCAGAAGCCGTCATACAGGAGGTGAGACAAAGGGTCAAAGAGTGGGGAGGAAGAAGAATACATATCATCGATGGCTTCCTGCTGTTTTCCCGTTCAATGCCGCAAATACAACCTCTCTTCGACATCAAACTCTTCCTTCGCACCTCTTACTCCACAGCAAAGGCCCGCCGGGAAGCACGTAGCGGATACGTCACTTTGGAAGGTTTTTGGGCGGATCCACCAGGCTATGTAGATGCAGTCGTATGGCCCAACTATGTAGCGGATCACCAGTTTCTGTTCCGCAATGGACAGGTCGACGACGAGTTGGATGAAGAGGTTTGTGGTGAGATGGGCATTTGGGGGATGCCGAGAGACGCCGAAGAGAACATGGAAAAGTGTTTCAGGTGGGCAGTTGAAGTCTTAGAGGGGGCCACTCAGAAATCATGACGTCGCAGGATGGTCAATGAAAGCAAGAAGATGAATTATAGACTGGATTAACGCTCGTGCTTGGAGTTGTTACGCTTTTGCCCAGGTTGCTAGAAAGCTCGAACGAGTACGCAAGACCAAGGAAGATAATGTCCGCCGAGGTCGAATATGACTAAATAAACAAGCAACATCACCTGAGCGCCGTGACAATGATGTTCGAATTCCAGTTCCGACCCATGCAAGAATTGGTAGTACAAGTAACCTAAAGACGAGACAGAGAAAAACAATACGTCGTAAGAAGGTCTCAAGTACTAGATTTGACCTTGTCGATGTATGCCTGACCTGGACTCTCATAAACAGAGGCAAAATATGCATTGACCTGAGGTTCTTTAGCAAGCCATGTGGTCATGCCGCTCAACTCCTCACGGAGGCGGTTCACAGCTTGGACGTCCATGTTGGTCTGCGCAATAAGTTCAGGCATTGATACTGCGACGCAAATCAGCAAACGCTACTAGTGATACCTCAGGTAAACTTACCTAGAAGGCGCAGGAGATGCTCGCCGCCATAGATCTCTGCTAGTGTCTTGCCAGCGAGCTCATCAGTCGGCTGCTCCATGCGAGTATAGATGTCGAAGAACTGCTCACGCTCGAAGCGGTAGAGAAGAAGGCGACCGAGGCTCTTGTTGAAGTACTCCTTCAACCCTGCCACGACCTCTTCCAGGATGTCAGTTTCGGTGTTGTTGCGATTACCTGTCGAAACGGCCCATGCAGAATACTCGTCCAAGATAGTTGCAGCTGGCTTGGTGGAGGGAAGTTGCACCAGTTGCAGGCTTTTGGTGATGTTTTCCCAATCATCAACTAGGAGGCTCTTCAGCCTATCAGGCATATAGATCCTGACGGCGCGTTTGTTTTGAAACACCTCTTCCTAGCGAACGTTTAGCGAACGTGTCGAAGAGACGTGAGACTAGAAGTGAGGAGGAGGCAGAACAAAGAGATGAGGCTTTATCGAAGCTGGTCGGAGTGGGGCGCTTACCTTCTCGATGTCATTATCACGCATCCGCTTCTGACCACGAGGTGCAGCAGCAGAGACAGACGTCTGGCGCTCCTCGCTCCCTCGAGCCGAACCATGCGCCTTCTTCTTCGCAGGAAGAGGCTGGGCTCTCGCGGCTCGCTGTTGAAGGAGCATTTCGTGCCTGAGATTGTTGGACAACTCGCGGTTTTCTGGAGATAGTTTACGCAACCGATCCTCAGATACCCAATCGTCCCAACTGCGCATTGTTAGTGGCTTATCACAATGTAGGTTGGAATTCGAGCAGTCATAACCATGAGTGGCTGAGTGATGGTGTATGTGGAAGTAGAGTACAATGTCGAAGTGGCCATGTAGAGGAAGTCGAAGCATGAGGGAGGGGCAAACGTGACATGTTCAACATCCAACAGAAGATGAACATAGACAAGCACTGGACGGTGGATACTTACGTGTTCTTCCAGCCTTTGTAATGGATCTTGTACTGCCAGCCGCTCTTCTTGTCGTTCTTGTCGCTCTTGTCATCGGCTTTGACGGCTTGGACCTCGATCACCTTGGCTTCATACAGCAGCTCATGATGGAAGCAATATACTTTCTCGTCCTTTCGGTACGAGGGTTCTGGTTCTGGTGCTGGTGCCATGGTTGAGTTACAACAGGGAAGCTTTGGTTTTGATGGGGTGGTAGCGAAGAGGGAAGGGGTGAGGGCAGCCGCCAACACTGAGACACGTCGCGTGTTTGTTGCCTTGAACACGCGCAAAACGAAGACAAATACCAAACACGCCAAACCGAGTCGTCCTGTTGCCAATGCGAGGCGCCAAGTCGACGATGCGGGTGAAAGGTCGAGCAGTGATGTTTGCTGGAATGTTGTTGCAGGTGCACTTCACGACATTTGATGGGCACGGACGCGACGCGCTCGACTCTCAGCCCTACGCATGTCTCGATGCTTGTCTCTAGCCGGCCATTACACTGCCCTGCCAATTGCGCACCGTAGCAAAGCCTGCCTCACGCGCATTCTCCACCACGGCAACCATGGCGTCGCAAGAAGCCAAGCTGCTCAGCGACTTCCTTCTCACGCCCGCATCACTGCGCGACTTCATGACGCCGCGCCAGTTCGCCGACATCTTTCCCCAAGCCCACCGCGCGAACCCGGCCGTGCAGGACTTGTATCGCGAGCTACATCGGCTGCGCGACAAGGATGTGGACCTAGTGCGTCACGCCATCGCCCACGAAGTCAAGCGGTCGAAGCAACTGCGGCGCGAGTATGCCAAGGAACGGCGCCGAGCTGACGACGCGACCGTCGCCGGGCTGGACTCGGTCGCGCTTCAGATGGAGGAAGAGGTGCTCGTCCCGTCCCGGCTCGGCGGACAGGGTGCTAACATGCCCTACAGTTCTCAGGCGATAGTCGCAAAACCCCGCACTCGCTGCACACTGTTCACTCCAGCATTGACGAGGCCTGCACGACCCTCGAGGCTCAGATTGCAGATATGGAGCAGGAGAACCAAACAGCCCTGTCCGAGGTGCAGGAGGCTGTTGGCGCGCTCAGTGACTTGCGCCATGGCCGCTTTGCGCAGTCGGCTGGTGGTGAAGACATTGGGCAGGAAGTACTGGCTACGCTAAAGAGGCTCGAAGCCGTCTGTACAAACACGGCTGAATGAGCGGCGTAGAAAACCATGTCTGCACCAAGAGACTTGAAGCCGTCTCTACCAATCCAGCAGGATACACTGTCCGTGACGCGGGCGGCGCTTAGATCGTCGTCTCACTACCTGCATCACCAACCACCTTTCCTTCGGATACACAGGAAGGGATGCGACATCGGACAGCAACCAATCTGCATCCGAGAGACGGAACCCAGTATGCATTACATCGATGATGCGATGTAGGTAGAGTTCCATTGGACACTTTGGTGTATGCTCACATCCCAAAAGATCCATACGAAACTGTGTACCTAGAGCATTCCAGAGTTTCCTAGAATCTGATTGTCATCTGTACTGCACGTGGAATGAACAAGCCAAGCCATGTTCTCACGTCACCATAATCTATACATCACTCACAAAGCGACGTCATGTGAAGGTTTGACAAAGGGAGCTTTCTTTCGATCGAGAGCTGTTCTGTCATCCATTGCGAGAAACACGTCTTGTCTCTCCATCTTTGTGCGTGTCTCGGCGTTTTTGCTCAATCAGCCTGGACCTGTCCCTGTTTGGGTGCGCGTCGAAAGGGTATCACGCCACCCTCACGGCATAGGCGACTGCATCGCCGCAAAACATAAACAGCGCCCCACGTGCCTGGAAGAGCCTTCAATCCGAACTTTACTTGCGCTGTCACATTCGCAAAAACCCTGTGCGACACACGGGAGTGCCCGCTCTGTTGTCGGGTGTGGCTTTGCACTGTGTAAAAGTCTTTCCACTTTCACAAATCTTTCGGGGTTCTGGTCTACCTCTGTCGGGCACCGTAGTCAATCCATCATCCTCATCATCATCACCCTCATTATCTTGTCGACCTTGAACTTGCTTGGACATCCAACACCCCATCTTTCCATCCTTCGTCCGCATCCAACCACAACACTCAGACGAGATTCGCAATTCCATCGGAATAGCTTCGTCTCTACCTACGCCACATGGGTATGATCGGCAGACCGGAAACTCGGGGTTTCGCTCAGCCCGTATACAATAGGGCGCCCAGATGTCAAAGCTCCGTGCACAAGAGAACAGCTGCCCCTTCCCCGGACGGTACCGAGAGCGTGAGCAGTCCGTCGTTCGACATGCGCAGTTCCGGTATCTCTGAATCTTCCTACTCGATCAGATTTTCTTGATCAGGCACGAGAAAGAAAAGAATGTGGAACACCGATCTAGTGTAAGGATCGAGTGGATCACCACTTGGATTGCAGTTTTGAGTTTGAACTGCATGCTTACCGAAGCATACTCCTCCTACTCCCCAAGCGAGACCCAACAAGCCCGTGAAACGTAACTCTTGACTCGCGCCTAGAAGGTGGGAGAATCCGCTCAGCTCGGCATCGTCGATGTGTCTACAAAGCTCGCATTGACCCTTAAGATATCCTCTCCGCCTGAACTTGCGGACTCGTCATTGTTCATTAGAATCTTACATAACTCGTATCTTCAGACATCCACCACACCCCGGACTTCGAACACTGAACGCCCACTGCAGGTCATCTCTTCGCTCCACACTCCATTCCCGGCAATGGACCTCAACGACTACCAAAAGGTAGCCAATGTCGACTACTCCATACCGCAAGACATGATGTCCTGCCCAGATCAATTCGATAGAGCCTACCTCTCAGGGCAATATCCTCCATCTCCTCAACGCTCCTCGTCAACGCTTTTCGACTCGAACTCCTTCTTCGGCCAACCACTCACATCGACTGAGATGTCTTCCTGCATGTTATCGAAGTCCCCGACGTTCTTTAGTCCAGCTTTACCTGGAACCGGCATTCCAGTGACAAATGGTCATTCAAGCAGGGGAGCAGCTCTCCGTCAAACCTACAACCCCTCACCCTTCATACAACCGCCTCACGCGGGCTTCACATTCGAGACAACGACATCGGAGGCATTCAAATCAGCTTACGTCTCCCCCATCACTCAAGTTTACTCGAGGACTCCCTCCTCCAGCGATGACGTAGCGCAACGGCCCATCTCTCCGACTCCGTCTTCCCGGGTCAAAAAACGAGAGTCTACCTCCTCACTTCCTTCTCCATCAGAAGAACCGACACCGAAACGGCCTCAACGAAAAAGAGGTCGACCACGACTCGATCGTTCCCGCGCTGACACTCGTTCCACTGCATCTTCTTTGACCTCAAAATCTCAACGAACAGGTCGTTTACCACACAACCAAGTCGAGCGCAAGTATCGTGAGGGTCTCAATTCCGAGCTTGAGAGATTGAGAAGAGCGGTTCCAGCACTACCACAGAACGACGAAGGTGGTATAGTTGGCCAGCCAAAGCCTAGTAAGGCCATGGTGTTAGCGGGTGCTATTGAGTATATTCAGAAGCTTGAAAGTGAGAGAGACGCGTTGGAAGAGGAGAACAAGAGGCTCAGGCGGGCTCAGACGAGAAGTGGGCATGTAGAGAACTGGAGAAAAGACGAGTCGTTGGATGATTTCCTTGTGGATCCTTGAGGACTGTTGACAACGCGTTGAGCGCTCAAGGCTTTTTTACGTTTCTTAAAGTTTCGTTTGGTACAGCACATTTGATTCCTGTATCAAGATGTGTTACGGGGAAGACGATATTTGGGTCACATTCTACTTCGGAATTCTGGGTTCTGCTTTGTTTTGTCCAGCATCGATGTTGGCGGAGGCTATGGTACTGCATTCAACCTAGCTGTCTTGTAATGATCGTTTTGATGATATCCGCTCGCGCAAATACATTGATGGCCCCTGTTGCGCATTACTTTCTCATTGTCCAATGGAGTAGATACACGTCAATTTTATGATTAGCTCAAAGTTTATTCTGGTTTGATTACATAGTATTGTGACATGAAAGAAAAAGCATAGAGGCCACTATACTTGATGCCCAACAATTCACAAAAAAACAGGGGCAAGTTTGAAGAGAGTGTCACTGGATCTCAGTTAGGAAATATGAACCCCACCACCCACTTTCCCCCACCATCTCACACTCAAAGTTTCAAAGCACAATTATGTCCTCAACATCAACCCACATCAAGACCAGATTCCTCGTAATCTCCGACACTCACTCCTCCACACTCGCGCAGAATGCTTCTGACAATGATACATCCTTTCGTCCGCCGCTACCGAGGGCTGACGTTCTCCTCCACTGCGGAGATTTGACGATGATCGGCCATCTTCACGAGTATGAAAAAACACTAGATATGCTGCAGAGCATCGATGCCGACTTGAAGCTGGTAATTGCAGGCAACCACGACATCAGCCTCGACGAGGAGTACTATACCAGGAAGGGAAAGTACATGCACCGGAAGAACGGACACGACGAAGAGATGCCACAAAAGGCAAGAGAGATGTGGAAGGGCGAGCGAGCCAAGAGAGCAGGGGTCACGTATCTGGAGGAAGGGACGCATACGTTTGATCTAAAAAATGGATCCAAGCTGCGCGTGTATGCATCCCCCTACCAGCCCGTATTCTGCGACTGGGCCTTCCCCTACAACCGCAACGAAGACCGCTATAATCCTCCCGAGCAATGCACGCCCAATGCTATCCCCGTTGCCGATAATGCCGTGCCAAGCTTCCCGGACATCGATGTGATGATGACACACGGCCCCCCGTTGGGGGTCCTCGATGCGGTGCGGAACGGCGAACGTGTAGGTTGTGTGCATCTCCTCCGAGCGGCGCGCCGCTGCAAGCCGCGCCTCCATTGCTTTGGACACATACACGAAGGCTGGGGTGCGCAAAGAGTACGGTGGAACGGGGATGACGCGTTGGACGTCAAGATTGAGGAGCATATTGAGGAGGCTAAAGACATTGAGGTCGACAGGGAGGAAATGATCGAACGCAGGGCGGCACATGTGGATATCAGTCAGGGTTCCAAGATGGCTGTGGATTTTGGGAAAGAAACACTAATGGTCAATGCGAGTATCATGACCGTCAGCTACAAGCCTTGGAATGGGCCGTGGCTCGTCGACGTGGATCTGGAGAAATCGAAATGATGTCGTATCAGCAATGGATATTACATCATTGCGGCGCGCTCCTAAGATACAGGCAATCCTTCTGCTCCACGAGCCACAGGTCATTGGCATATGACCGATACATCGTCATCGGCGCGGTGAGATGCAATGCAGGAGGCCCTGGTATGAAACACGTTCACAACCTCTCACTCGCTCCACGAGGTCTTCACTAGCAATCAAAGTGTCCGGGAGGTTTAGAAGACTGAATCTTGGAAAAGGGCCGCCGCACTCGCGCATGCTCAGAATTTGGTTACGTCAGAATAAGGGAAACGAGGCTTCTCTGCACCAACCGAGATCGGCTAAGCAGGCCGGTGTCTAGGAGAGAGCTGGCTAGGAAAAGCGCTCATAAGCAGACATTGATTGGCCGACTACAACTTTCATCCGATTGGCCTCCAAAAATACTCAACATTCAGATCTCTATGCGAATCATCACTCTCATGATCCAGCCAATCCTCCTCCACAAAAATCCTAGCGTGCGGACATCTAGAACTCTTCGCTTCCGCAAGATTCGCAAGCTTCGCCGGGACAACCGTTTTCCAGGCCCCGGAGTCGTCGCTTGCGCCAACCGATGCACAGCCACGGTGTCCACGTTGACCCCGCAAGACAAGGGGGTCGCGAAATGCTATGTTGCGACTTGTCAATCGCATAGTGTCCCCCTGCGCCATGTGGCTAGTGAGCGGCAAATGTACATCCTGATCACAGCCTGGCATTCGTTGACAGGTCTGCCGGACCCTGATCTGCGCCTGAGGATACTGCTTGTGGATTGACACGGCGGCGAAAAGCACGGGAAGGTTAAAGATCAACAGCACAGCCTGGCATCGCGTGCAGGTTTTCCGGCCTGGAATTCTTGCAGGACATGGATTGATGGGAGATGATAAAATGTAGGGTCATCGCTGCGTGGTGCAACAAAGTCGACCATTCAAAGAAGATAGCGATGAAACGTACATAACGATTTCTTTCCAGCCACCCTTCGAACATCTCTGTTGTTAGTCGTTGGAAAATCACACTCGCTCGTCATGCATCTGTTGAGAGGATGGACCGTCTTTGGGTGTTTGCTCATTGGGAGTGTACGGACCGCAGTGTTGCCAATGCCTATCGTTACACCGGCGCCTAGTCTTCCTGCTCAGTGGCTGGAGGAGAGACAGGATCTCAATCCGTAAGCTTGAACTCTATCCACCGTCTGATGAGCAAGCAACTGACTGCCAACAAGTATCGACCTTGCCAAAGCTCTTCTCACGGCAATCCCTCTGTCCTTGCGACAAATAGCCGCGACAAATTTACCAGCTGTATCAAGCATCTTGTGGGACGAATTTTTGGATGACAAAAAGCCGCAATGGTTTCAGGACTTGCCTTGGGATGTACAGAGCTATCTGATTGTGCAGTTCGGACCGCAGACTGCGTGGCCTACTGCGTCTCCAACGACCGATGGCTCGAGCAGTGAAGCGACGACGACGGCAACAACAAGTACGGACACAGCATCATCGTCGAGGAGTGAGTCGTCGGTATCGACTCCCACCAGCTCTTCGACCTCTTCGACCTCTACATCCTCTTCTCATTCCTCCTCCACTCGTTCGCAGAGCTCGACTGCAAGCCCCTCGACAACCCCAAGCTCGACTTCGAACTCGACCTCCCCACCAGCCGGTACCTCTGGGCTTTCAAGAAACCAAAAGATTTGGCTCGGGGTTGGCATACCCCTCGGACTGCTTGCTATCACCGCTCTCATTCTTGGATGTTGTTTCCTGTTGCGCCGTCACAAGCGCAAAGTCCCTGTCGAGGGTGACGAACCACCATCAACGCCAGGATTCATTCCGCGCTTTGCCTTCCACGAAAGAGCGTCTGTTGAACACTTTGACCATCGCGCGCCGCTGAACCCTGCTGTGGACCAGTCGAGCTATGATGACGAGAGCATGATGTGGGACGACGACGATTTCGACGCGGCGCCCATTAACCAAACACACGCATCCCGGCCAACCTTGGCGATGCAAGATGCCACTCCGATCATGGCCCCTGCGCTATACCACACGCATAGCTCTAATCGTGCACGAGGAAAACGTACAAGCTATACGAGCCTGCACTCTGTGGCCGAAGTGACGGAACCGGACGAGGAAGCAATTGCAGGGCGACGAGCATTGGCGAGGCCCAATCCACGCAAACCGATGAAACTTGCTCTGCCACCCATCCCAGCCGCAGCAACTCTCAGGCGAAAGTCTGCGTTGATAAGCCCGAACGATTATACGCCGTACAGTCCCGCCGCGGAAGCCGCCTCGCAATCTTTCCTGCGACCATTGATGTTGAATACCGGGAGCAGTTCGAGCGGTCTCCTTTCGAGTCGACACACCAGTGTCTCTTCCGAGCCCGGATATTCGACCGACTTCTCGAGTCCAGCCGTTTCTCCGTCGTCGCCCAAGCACAACCAATATTCTTACGTCGAAGATTACGGCCAAGATTATCAGAGCCCATATGTTGACGCTGAAAACGGGTTGTACGGGGGACACCGGAGCCTGAACGCATACCCTGAGCCAGCACCGCGGAAAGCCTCAAGGACTGAGTGGCCGCTGAGAAATGTGCTTGGGATGGGAAATGAGAGGAACAGAAGTGCTACATGGGATCGAGTGTACGAGGAGCCATGATCGAACGTATAGTAATGACCTGTTACGATTTGTTTTTTTTGTTTGTACTCGGCATCGTCCGATGATAGGCGTTGGGAAGGATGATACCAAGTGTGCTTTTTGCGCCTCAGGGTTTTGAATGGCGATTGTACATAGCGCCTGCTTGCGCAAATACCCTTCGAGATATACCATTGTTTTAGCCAGATATACCCAATTTACAAGTCGACAACGAAGTCGTTTGACATACACTCATAATCATTCTCAGTTTGTATCCAAGACTTTTTGTAAACCCTTGCCTAGCACACCACGCACTCGCTTCGGGCTATCTTGTGCCGTTGTAATGACAATAGCTGCACTGAGCGCAAATGCGACATGTTCCTTCCATCGATCTTCGGGGAGATATCGACGAGGTAACCAGGTAGCAGCGGCCCTGGGTAGAACAAAGAGCATGATTTCGAGTCGTCGTTTGGACTCCTCAACAAGCATGCTAAGCCCACAGGAAAGACATCCAGCCAATATACAGAGTCCAGAATCCCACATCTGAGGCGTGACTGATTTAGATGAGAATAATTTGGGCCCAAGTCGCGTCCTTGCCAGACATATACTGTAGTAGAATGATGAGACAAAGGCACCTAAGAAGGCAGAGTGCCTTGTAGCCTTGCCTATAGCCTGCAGCAAAGCTTCCTTTGTCAAGCCCGCGAGTTTGTTCTTTGGCCGGTAGGCCATCTTCACGCGCATAGTCAAGATTATGGCCTGCAGGGGGAAGTGCATTCTAGCTGCGAATGCCCAGCCCCGCCAGAAGCGCCACAAGGCGTGTACCTCGCAGCTCTTTGTGCGGCCCATATGTACAAGCTCGCATGGTATGGGCACAGTTTTGGAGGGATCACCCAGATCCTCTGGTAGACCGTAATCGCGGGCCATGGAACCTAGAAGAGGGGCCATGCCTGTGTCCTTGCCATACAGGAATGAGCCGTACCGAGCATGTCGAAGAGCAAGCACAAGGCGACTGTCAATCTCTGCGGCAGCAGATATCCAAGTGTTGTAAGCTTGAGGTAAGCGGCTGGGAGAGTAAATCCATGACCACATGATGGTTGCCGCTGACATGCAGAACAGGACGGTTGGTACATTATGAGCGGCTTCCCGTAATCGAGATTTTGGCTTTAGTGTTGTGTGCTCCCACGTGGTGCTCAATACAATGTCGAGGGCTCTCACCACCGAAAACAGCGTCAAATCCATAGTTCTGCCGGCCAGGTCAGACCTACAAAGAGATTTTGCGCGGAGTGTCGCATGGTCTACTTCTCCAGACGTTTCTTCCGGTGGCTCGTTGAATGGGCCAGGTTCGGCCATTCGGACTGGATACTCTCCAGATGCATGGATAGGTGGGAGCTCTGCAGGAGCACTGTTCAGCAAACGGAAGGAGATAGATGCCGATAGAAGAGCTGCTGTGAACTTTGCACAGAGACTGGCAATCCAAAAGTCGAGTGCCTTAGGAGAGGATTTGATGGAACGCAGAGCGGCGAAAGTGAGGGCTTTGAATGGAAACTGAAGCAACGTCGAACCGCCAACGAGGGTGGCGCAAAAGGCTGGGAATTGGTGCACGTTGAGTGCTTGGTTGAAGATGTCATTAAGCTGCGCCGTAAATTAGCGATACGAGTTCCTCGAAACACCATATCTGACCCAAGGGACTCACCTGTGACCACGCGGCCCTTCGTGTCAACTTTCTTTTGACAAGATAGAGAAACAGAATTCGCAGAATGCGTGGACCGCTACTCGACAGTAACCCCAGGAAGTATGCAGTAGCAAGACTGGGTTCGGTTAACGTCAGCGCGGAATAATTTATTGATTTGCAGACGTGATGTGGACTTGTTGATGTTCAAGTGGAAGATGGCTGAGCCTACTCACGGTTTAGCAAGCCTCAGGTGCGACTGCTTTGCCATTTCTGGGTGCAAATGGTGGCGCCCTCTGCACCAAAACCAACAACGAAGTAGATACAGAGCGTGACAACAGAGGCAATTCTTGAGACAACGGGTCGGCAACTTGATGCATCATCAGCTAACGTGACGGGACCGTTTGGGATGGAGCTGCGACGCTAACGCAGAATCGAGGCGATCAAAGGTGCATGCATGACTCGGAATATGATCAGGAGGAACCGAGTCGACTTCAGCTGGGAGTTGGGATTGCCAAGGACGAGAACGAGGGTAAGTCAAGGCTTATATAGACAACTATAACAACCCTGCTCTCCTTTTTAAGCCGCAATAGAGGCACACGACGGGCATACACAGCGTTGCAGTGATCAGACGGGACGAAGAGTGCAAAAGCGAAAAATCTGGGGTAGCACTAGTGCTCGGCACGTGTCGGCTCTTTGTTTTGTGACATGTGAATGTGATGATGGGTCCTGCGCGCAACACGTCGACCTCGCTTTCCCCGACAGACTCTCGACAGGCAGCCATTCTGGGCTCAGCAAAGGCACACCGGGGATGAAGTTGCTTATTAGGACCTGCCATGCCCCCTCGGAACCCGAGTGAGCTGCCCGCATCCAAGTACGGCACCCAGCGCGCACGTAGCCGCAGTCGATTCACAACGGCCATCTGGTTCACGTCATTGCGCGCTTCAGACGTCTCAACAGCAGCAGCCTCGACGCACCCGACGCACTCTTATCTGCCCGCCACTATCCGCGCCTTCTAGAAGCCAAGCCCTGCGCCGTTCGTCTGTCCGTGTTTCGAGTCTGCGCCAGCCACTCATCGAGGCGCATTCTCGGGCAGCCCTCGACTTCCCCCCAACATCACGCCCAGCAGCCAAACTGGAGTCTCTCTTGCTCCAGCCGCGCGCGGGTCCCGCGGGTAACCAGGCCAGAGGCCACCCACATCCCGCCATGAACGACAAAGACCCGCCGCCGTTCGGCTGTACGCCTTCCGCCCCGGCTATGTGGCCAAGCACTGACACTGCCACCAGACACCTTCAACGGCTTCTTCGATGCCGATCTCACGGCCCTCGATACTAGCGGGCAGTCGCTCCTCAGCGACATGGAGCACCAGTCGCTCACTGACTTCTTCTCCAACACCGACCCCTTCCACCTGTCCGACTCGCAGGCCTTCCCTCTGCCCACCTCCGACACAAAGGACAGCGCCGACGACTTTGGCATCTGGAACAACTTCATCACCCCCGCGACGGTCCACCGCGTGTCGACGACGATACCAGACCAAGCGCACCTGCAACACGGCTTCGACGTGGACCATGGGTTTGCCCAGCCGCCCCTACCCACGAACCACCTGGGAAATACGCACGACGACCTACAGGCAGCGACGACGCTGTTCAGCAACTCACAGTCATCGTACTCAAACGGCAGGTCACATAGCTTCCACGCACTGCCACCCCCAAACAGAGATGCGAGCACGAGCACCGCTGCCGAGTCCAGCCAGACCCCCAAACCCATGGCCTTCACGACGCATGGGTTGATCAACGAGCAACTAGCCACGCTAATACCGCACCACGGCGAGCACGGCACCATAGAAGCGCAGCTCGCCGCACATTGGGCTGCCAGCAACGCGCAACACCAACACGAGGCAGAGTTCAGTGCCCTACTGCACCAACCAAGTTTAAAAAGGTCCTATACCTTTGGCACGGACGACTCGTTCAACAACCCTTCGGGCTATTCTGCGCCATCTGGTCAGGAGACTGAGGAGCAGGTGACACGGCGGTTGCTGCGCCATGCTCAGCCTTTCATACGAACTGGGGGAGACGCTGAGGGGCCAATTCCTGGCCCTGGCCCCGGCCCTGCTGGGCACATCCATCTTCCGCCCGCGTTTGTCGAATCACCAAGCGACGACGAACAGTCCGAGGATGGCACGTCCGAGGACGGGGATGACGACGATAGGCCAGTCAAGAAACGGCGAAAAAGCAAATACCGCATCAGCAAAAGCACATCGCGAAAGAGCAATTCGCGAAACGGCAAAAGTCGCAAGATGTCACTCGCCGAGGAAAGCAGCAAGAAGAAGCGAGCGTCGGCAGCAAGCCAGAAGATGCAGCGTGAGAACTTGACGGAAGAGCAAAAACGAAGTAACCATATCCTGTCTGAACAGAAGCGTCGGAACCTCATCAAGCGCGGCTTCGACGACCTGCATGACCTTGTCCCTGAGATTCGTAACGGAGGGCTGAGCAAGAGTAGTGTGCTGACAGAAGCTGCCAACTTTCTTGAGAAGCTTATCCAAGAGAACGCGTCGTTCAGACAGCTGACTGGCGACGTCAAAGTTTGCATGTCAGAATGACGGCCCCTGTTCTTGTATTTGGCGATTCCAAATTTCTCGGTTTTCCTGGCATCATATGGCCTGATGCACAGAGGGGGGTTTTACTTTGGTGATGTTTTCACGTAATGGATGTTGGAGTTTGATTTGCGACAGCGATACCCCTGGGAGAGAGAATGAATGTATACTATAGACTATACGCCCCCATGCTCACCGAAGAAGTGTTTCTTCACATGATGCTGATGTGGTAGTTGCGAGGTTGGTGGAGCAGTGTTAATTTTGTTGTGTTGTGAATAAAGTAAGAACGAAACGCTATACTACGAAGCAGTATTACTGGTGGGTATCTCCAAGTCTTAAACCTATGCCGGCGAATAGAAGTGAAGATGGAAGTGAATAAAATGGTCTTCGTCGATTAAAATGGGTATCCTCCTGTCCTCTTGTGCCTTCAATCTTACTCGCCCCACATATCTACGCTTTCTCAGCCTCGACAAACTGGGGCCTTTGCACTGCAATGTCCTGTCGGGCTTTGTCCTGGGCTGAGAAGACGTCCTGGATAGGTGTTTGGTGTTGGCTGTCTCTCCGGCGCGGGGGAGATGTGCCCTTTGCCTGGTTCAACCGTTCTTCGGCGGCGCGGAGTTGGGCTTCCAGCGCTTCCAGCTCTTGCGTTTGTGTGGTTACAGCTTGCTTTCTGGGACTGTGTGTTAGCGGGGAGGATGGCTGGCGGGGGTGGGTGAGTGGGAAGCATACTTTTCATGCACGGTCTTGTCGAGGGTGTCAAGGCTGCCGTCGAGCCGGAACAGATCGTCGAGTTCAGACATGAAGTTGAGCGCTATCGTGCTGTGGCATGTGAGTTCGACGCTGACGGTGGTGGTGATGGGAGCATGTACGACTGAGGGCGGTTCTTGGGCTTCCAGTTGTAATCAGGGTCCTCCATGACGGGCTGCGGGGAAGATGGTGATACGGTGGATGGGGTGGAGGAATGCATGTGTAGTTGAGGTGAGAACAGGCGTCTTGTGGGGTGAGGATGGCTTCTTGTAGATGCAGATGGAATTGGACAGGTCAAAGACGTTTCAAATAAGGCAAGCAGGCAATACAGACACGGGGGAGTAAGATACGGCTGTGCGTGGGTATATAATCGAGGACGTTGGGCCAGGAAAGGGGGGAATGAAGGTTGGCCATTGCTCCACGTGCTCCCTGCACCTTGGAGTCGATCGTTATACGACAGCGCGAGCTAAGATTGTCCGCCAAGGGAGCGCTTATCCAGGGCTCAAGCCACTTCTCCGGCGCGCCGATTGGTGAAGCACCGCTCTCCAGAAACACCAAAGATTGTCGACCCATTCACGAAACGCCCACCGCCCGCCATCGCCCTCATCTCCGCGCATCGTGCCATGCCCGCCTGGCCATCGTAGCCGTGCCCATCCGTCGCGCTGGCTCCCCTTCCGCCCCAGCTCTCCCAACGGTACCGGGGAATGAGTGCCAGCCTGTCCGCCTACACCACCCTCGAGTCGCTCCTGCTGTTCCAGTCGCTGCACGCCTATGGCGTGGCCTCGACCGTCTTCAGCACCATCTCGGACCTGCTGAAGCGCAACCCCGACGTCACCGACCAGAAGCACTATGAGGCCGGCCGCCTGAGCCCCGACGCCATACGCGCCTTCTACGTGGACCGCCTGAAGCGAGAGGTGGAGCTCGAGCAGGGCGCCGAGCATGGCGGCCACAACAGCGACACGGCGAACCCGCGGAAGCGCAAGGTGGCCAGTCCGAAAGGGTCCACGGTGCAGGAGCTGCTGCAGCACCAGGACCTCATCCCGCGGCTGGTCGAGAAGCTCTACGCGACGTACCGCAACGAGATCACCGAGCTCATCAGGGCCGAGGAGGAGAGACACGACCGCCTGCAGCGCGAACTCCAGAGCATCGAGCGCGGCGAGTGGGACGAGCAGCTGAAGGAGCGGGCCAACGCAAAGGCGCACGCGTCGCGAAGCCCCACCCTGTCCACGAGGTCGCCCCATGCCGCGCAGAAGTCGTTGCAGAGCAAGGCGGCTCCCCAGGTGGCTGCTCAGAATGGTCAGAATGGCGCGCGAGGTGCATCCCACACCGACGCGCCCGCTCCAGACGCTCCACTACAGCCTGGACAGACCGCGGCGAACAGCGCGCCAAACGCGTCCTCGCGCAAGAAACGCGCGACTGCAGGCCAGCGACAAACTTCAGCTACACCACAATCCATCGCCGCTTCTCCGCCGTCGCAGCAAACCCACCCACAGCCACTGGTGCCGCCTCCTGGGTTCCAGCAGTTTGCCCAGCCCCCAGGTGCGGGATACAATGGACCGCCGTATGCACATCTCTCGCCCCACCCCCCAGGACCGCAGTCTCAAGCACCACAAAATCTACCACCACAGCCTGGCCCCCACCATAGTCAGTCTCCGGTCGCAGGCCATCCTCCTGGCCCTTTCCAGCATCAGCCAATTCAACCGTACGGAGGCAATGGGGTTCCTCAGTATGGTCCACCTCCTGGCTCGTCTCCACAATACCCGCCAGTCCATCAGCGTCTCCCTCACCAGCAGCATCTGAGTGCCCAGTCTCCAGGCGCACTACCCCCACAGCAGCAGCCGAGGATTTACTACCCTCATCCTGGACAACCACTGCACCCCAATCAACAACCTCCGGCACTTCAGCCTCCTCCCCAGGCCGGGTTCATGCTGCCACCATTCCAGGTCTCCCCACAGGATCCGTCGCGCGTCCACAATTCACCGACTGTACCGCCACACCATCCTCAGGCATCTACTCCTGTAAGCCACAGGCAGCAAGCACCGACATCGAAAACACTCGCTCAAACACCTGGTCCCTACAGACCAGGCGTGCCGTCCATGCACCCGCTGGTCACCCAAGCCAGACAGTCCTTCTCCACACCGACGAACTCGCGATCCCCACATAGCGCTTTTGGTACGCCGGTATCTGCGAAGAGCCAATGGAAGCGTCAGAACCTCGTTGGGACTCCCGTGACCCCACGACCCGAGCTTGAACCCATAGACGACTTTCTATCTTTGTCTGCGTCGAAAGCGAGCGCATTCAAGGCAAGATCGTCTCGTAGATCGAGGACAAAGGGCAAAGCAAAAGCAAAAGAGCCGGACAATGTAGCAGAGGAAACGTCTACACAAGAAGCGTCTACACAAGAGGCTAATTCTGCGCCTGCGACGCCACAAGTGATAGAACCATTGGACGAGCCTGCCCCTGAGCTGAATACAAGACAGGGTCGATCACGGCGCAAAGCAGCTGCCAAGCGGGCCAGACCCGGAAGTATAGCCTCTTCACGAGCAGGCGGCTCAGTGCGAGATCGCAGCAGGAGTCAGTCGATCTTGTCTCACACGGAGACTGTGGCTGCAGATAACGAGTCGCAAACTGGTAATCCAATCAAGTCGGAGCGCGGAACTTCTGTCGACGCGGTTGAAGAAGAGCCTGTCCATACACCCTCACAGATGGTAACTCGCCGACGAGGTGCTGCGCGAGCACATTCCACAACACGGCGAAAGCGAAACGCGCGTGAAGCGTCACTGGAAGAACCCGAAGATCAAATCAGCACACCAGGACCGCCTCGAACTATCATTGCGCCCCGCCGCTTCTCGCACATGTCGAATCCTATCATGAACGACATAGGCTCACATAGGCATGCGTCCTTGTTCAGTTCGGCAGTTCGTGCCAACAATGCACCGGATTACTACAAGATCATCAAGCGCCCAACAGACCTCAAATTTATCCAAAAAGCCATTGCCGCAGGAGCGAAGCAGGTAGCAGCTGCAGCGTCCGATACTCCAGTCGGTAGTCCCGGCGGAGCTGGAGGCGTTGTCGAGCTACCCATGACAAGCAACACGATCCCTCCCACTGCGATTGTCAACTCGTCGCAGCTGGAGAAGGAGCTCATGCGTATGTTTGTGAATGCTGTCATGTTCAACCCTGGCGAGGAAGGCGTTGTGGAGGATGCGAGGCAGATGTTCGAGACGGTGCAGCGGAGCGTGTCGAATTGGCGGAACGTGGAACGGTCGAGCGGGAGGACGGAGGTGGAAGATACGCCGGCTGCCGAGGAGGAGGAAGCGCCTACAGCGTCCAAGAGGAGGAAGGTTTAGTACAACCTTCGGACCTGAATTTGATCCAGTTGGGGAGGGAACAGTTGCATCTATTTTTGTAATGGATTGATTGATACCTTGAACTCTATTCCTCGTCCCAAGACTGCTTCCGACATATAATGTCTTATCTGCGTCGGCAGTGGTTCGCCACAAGCTCTCCGCTTCCAGGCCAAATCCGGGGCCCCAGAGCCCCGTTAACGTTGACGACGCTAGCCATGCTTCCGCACTTTCCGCACCAGGGACCTCCACCCCACGCGTCGCCCAACGTATTCGTATCCTGCCAGCGAGGGCCTTTTGTGTCTTTGACACGATTATGTCTGTTCCCATAAATTAACACCAGACATAATGGACAAGAAAGTCAGCCTGCAAGAGCTCATCCAGAACGCGGGTGTTGAGCCCATCCCGGCTCGCGAGCCCTGTCTCCCTGCACCCGAGGCATCCACATCCACCGTCAGCAAGGAAGACGATCAGCAAGCGAGGACCATCCTCGAGAACCGGCGCAGAACCAACCCTGCGCAAAAACCAGTGCTGAAGCGCCTCTTCACCAGCACCTCAAAAGAGAAGGACAAGCCCCAAGACGCAGACGCAACGCAATGGGTCTTTTCGCATGAGGAGCTCGACCAGGCGCTTTCCGCCGTCCTGCGCACGCCCTCGACTAGTCCAGAACTTGTAAGAGCATTCGTAAACAGAGGCGTGAACGTGAACATCATCGACCCGTGCGACAACAAGAAGAAAGGGAAACCCGCACAACCACCCCGTCGAAGCACCGTCCTCCAACAAGCCGCCTCGCTCCGCCGCCACCACTGCGTCGCCATCCTCGCCAGCGCAGGAGCAGACCAGCGCACCCTCTCCGAAGCCCTCAAATCCGCACTCACAAACAAAGACAAAGCGTGTGTGGAAACCCTCCTACGCCACGGCGCAGACGTGAATAACTTCCCCACCGCGCTCGCCAGCACCGTCAAAGCCAAAGATATCGACCTCGCGCGCATACTACTGCGTGCCCCCACCCCGCTCCGCACAACCATTGTATCCTCGTGTCTGCTCGTCGCGGTGCAGGCTTCATCCGGGCCCCTCGCCGCCCTCCTGCTGTCACATGGCGCGGATCCGAACTTCGACGCCGCACGCGCTTTGAATGAAGCAATCGGGATGCAGGACTACAAGCTCGCGCTTACGCTGGTTGCTGGTCCAACCCCCCTCTCGCCGCAGACGCTGCAGTGCTTGCTCGACACGGTGATGCGGTTACCCACCCCGGCCGCCACGCTGCTGTATCTGCAGCTTTTGTTCTGCTGTGGGCTGCCGCCTACGAGTATTGGACTGGCGGATCTGCTGGTTTGTACGGCGCGCAGGGACGATGTGGGGGGGACGAGGATGATGTTGAGTTATGGGGTGAGGCCGGTGGGGGAGGAGAGGCGGGGTGATGTGAAGGTGGAGGAAGCGATTGGGAAGGGTGCGGCGATGCATATTGAGAGGGTGGATGATGTGGTTTCTTAGAAGAGGTAGAGGGGATGAGGAAGTATATAATGTTCTGCATCTTTGTTCGGCGTTACAGAATGCGAATGGTTTCATAATGAGGAAATGTTTATGAGTGGGAATTGTTCGCACACTTGTGCATTGATTCGAGAAACACGCAAAGGCAAAATCAACAGTCAATGACCTGATCACCAACTAATCAATACAAACATTACTGCAAGATTACTCCCCTTGTATGAATCGAGGTATAGACTACTCGTAACACCAAGAATGAAGAAATGGATATCGAACGATGGAAACGATTGCCAAATAAATGTATCCGATTCTTTGACACTCTACCCGAAAACTATGGTATTACAAGCTGTGAGCCAAACAATATAGAAAGGATGATGAATAAGATAGCTGCGTAGCTACGCTAGCTTCTCGTGCGAACCATAACGCCTACGGTGTCATGTCTTTGACAGACTTCTGCATCCAACATTGCCCAGGGCCACGGGATTCTTCGGTAGCGGGGGGTATAAAAGACATGCTCCAGAACATGCCAGCACACATCTTACTTTGGATATAGGTCGCAACCCTCCATGGCGGAAAGGTTCCGCGTCCAACACCCCAAATCTTCTAACGCGTCCCGCGCTGCGCCTCGCGTCTTTTGTACATCCGTATCCACGGACAGCCTCGAGTAACGGTTTGAGTCGCTGGGCTGATAACTGTGTATCCAATGCGGCAGCAAGTCTGAGTAGCATTTGACCCTGGACTTCAGGAGGGCGAGGATATCGACGACTGGCAGGAATCGCGCCGCTTCATAATTGGTGCTAGACGCTATCGAACAATGGGAATAACAGCGATCTAGAAAGAAATCAGCAACTGAGAGCAAATAGTGGAATGAAAAACGTACCTGATTTCCAAGAGCAACAGACAATCGCGAACTGTCCGGATCCCAGCCCAAACTAAATTCGCCATCAACGCTTGGATCCCACTTATCTAATGTTAAGTCATCTGCCCTCCAGCATGCCAATGGCACTTCCCTCTTTTCTACATCCCACACCGTCATGGCATATGGTCCAGCAGCTGCGAGCAAAGATCCATCCGGAGAGAATGCAATCTTCAGGGCCTGCGTGTCGTCTGTTGTAGGCAACCTCTTGACACAGGTGAAAGGTTCGTTGGCGTCCCAGATCCGCACCACTCCCGACATGGAACATGTTGCGAGAAGAGCAGGAGGCACGGAAGAACCATTTGTGAGAGTGTTTGCTGGCGTTCGAATGCGGACATCGAGATCCATGGAGTATTGGTCGGGGTATTCGTGGATCTGTAGGTCCGAGGGGTTATTTGGGTGGAGGATTCCAAGGTAGCCTGTCTTCTCTGTATTACCGAGCACAGCAATCACCCCCGAAGAGCTGTCGTGTTTCAAAATCTCCCATGATACTTGCGTGTCCAATGTTCGCTGAAGAGACAACGTCGCGCCAACTTCATAAATCTTGAAGAGTTTAATGCCACACACAGCAAATGCGGAGTCGCTTATCCATTGCGCATCGATGATCGCCGTGTCGGTAAATTCAATCCATGCGGGAGTTGAATTGCCGTCATTTCTCCAAACTTTGATAGCCCCACGCTCTCCATCAGACGAAATAGACAGAAGCAACTCCTTATCAGCATTCCAGCGAAGCGTGTTTACGAGGCCCGCGGTTGAGGATATAACGTGTGAATCTGAGCCACCATCAACTAATCTAATCAGCTTGTCGGTCATCATCTTTTCGCCTAACTCGTTGAAGCATTCTTCTCGTGCAGAAACGGTGAGTTCGCCTTGTGGATGCCAGCACAAAGCCGTGACATCGAGATTGCTGACGGGAAGATGCAGGTCTGCTGTCTTTACTGAGAGAGGTTGCTCGTCGTCAGACCGTTTGTCGATTAGGTGGACCTGGAGGATGGATTTGCCAGCTGCGAGCAGCACGGGGGCTTCAGAAGGACCCCATGAGGTATGCTGAACGAGACGCTGGGAGTGGCTGGGACGCGGAATGAAAATGGTTGACGGGGCAAGATCTGTAACGAGCTCGGTTTGGATGAGGGCGTCGTGTCCAATGCGGAGCGTTGACATGGGTATTTCGCCATCTATGGGCGACTCTGCTTCCGAGGCTACCGTCTCAGAATCTGCTCTTACGCTGTTGACGCTGTTGGGCGCGTGCACGCTGCCGTTGTGCTCAACATCCATGACGTCGCCGTTCACCTGAGGGTCTGGTCGTGGGTGGGGGTCGACACCGTTGGTCTTTGCCTTCTTCCGCTTCATGCCCTTTTTGGGGGGTGGCTCTTGCACAGCGCCATTTGCTTCGGCGGCGAGCTCGTGGGCAGGTATGCCTTTGTCGAGGGTCAGCAGGTCGCCGTTGCGCACCGAGTAGGGTCGTCCATGGTCAGCGCCGAATCTATACCGCGGCTCGGTCTGCAGGCGTCAACGCGAGCTCTTCCTTAGGGACGGCCAGACGTACGTTTGTGGCCTCTGCGTGCAAGCGGTCGAAGCACATGCCATCTTGAAGCATGCGAATGAGCGTGTGAGGCTCAACATGCTTGGCGAAGGGGAGCGTGTCGGGGTCGCGCAGCCAGCAACGCGAGAGTTGGATAGCAGCATTCCCGAATCCAGCTTCCTAATAAGCGCATAGAATCAGCACGCGTTCATTAGTTCTGTCTTGAGTGAGTGACCCGCCTGCAAATAACGCCACACTAGAAACACGTTAGACAAATGACATTGAGCCAGCTGGGATATTGAAGCAGCTGGGAGTTGATATTGAAGCAGCTGGGGGATGTTACCTAATAGGTTGACAATGTTTGAACTTAGAGACAACATCGTAGAAATCTGCGCATGCTGAGCGCGTCATATATGGTGTGGTGTTTCGAGAGAAGAGGGCGTGCGACTCGTTGGGGCGTCTTTGGGGAGTTGTCGATATGGTGATTGATGGGGAGAGGTAGAGCACGCTCCTCCATGCAGCACGGAACATTAAGCGTCTTGGCAGGGCTGGTGGCATAATGTACCAATCTGATTGCCTAAATCTTGTCTATTTGCATTTCGTTTTCTGTAAATAAAGCTGTTAGAAGTAGACCAGAAATCTCTTGTTTTCCTTGTACGAACTATGGCAATGAAACTATTCTGGATACTCACGTGGTTCACCACATCAGTACGGACACAAGTTGCAAGCCGTAGACTTTCAGCTTTAACCGAGGCAGCTTACAGAGCTGGTTGTATTCAGGCACCGAAGTGGTACATCGGACTTTGTTATTGATACATGTCAGCTATCCTTTATTACCATACCACTATATACACCAACCTCGATTCCTTTGAGCTGGTCAACGGTTGGAACTATAGGGATCAAAGAGTGTGGTGGGGAAAAGTTTTGGTGGGCACTGACAAGCAACAAGAATGAATATATTTCAGAACGAAACCGTTTGAAAGGTAGCGTATGCACGCGGTGGTTCTTTTCATGTATGTCCATAGTTTCAGTGTGTCAAGCAAATTGAGTATCACGCTGCTATCTGTCGACGTTGTGTAATCAGAGCTTTGATGCCTACACACAATGACCTAGAGATGGTCAAGTAGGATTGGAGATTGCAACAAGTTATAATTCAGCTACATTTCATTTATCAGGGTAATTAGATGACAACACAAATGCGCGTAGTATACAGCAAACTGTATCATGAATGCCTTTTGCGCAATTAGGACGCGTCGTTTGCGCCCAGAGGCGGTGATGGTCTGGGTTGTCGTTTGAGGATCGCGAGGGGAACATACGCGTATCCAGACCTCCCCTCCACCGAGAGCCCACCGTCCACGGCTCACGCCCACCCACACGCGCGATGTTGCCACCGCTGACGAGGAGCCTTCTCGCCGCTGTTGTCGTCTTCACTCTGCTCAACTTCCTCCTACGCCCACACGCAGACTGGGTGGAAAAGGTCGAGCAACCTCTGATCGGCGTCGGCCATGGCGTGCCCTACCTCACTATTGTGCCGGGTGTCTCCGTAAGATATCCGTGGGTCTTTGCCCTGGCCACAGTAGCCGAGCAGAATGTTGCTGGCCTGCTCATAACAGCCGCGACCGTCTTCTATGGCGGCCGCTATCTGGAGCGCGCCTGGGGGTCGCAAGAATTCGCAAAGTTCATTCTCTTTGTCTCGGTGGTGCCCAACCTCTTGAGCTTTCTACTCTATATTGTCGCATATGTTCTCACTTCGAGAAGTGCTCCGCTGTAGGTACAACTTTCTTCATGCGAGTAAGATTACTGACAAGTTCGAGACACACCACAATCTCTGGTGGCATTGCCATTCAGGCGGGCTTCCTCGTCTCCTTCAAGCAGCTCGTCCCCGAACACACCGTCGCAATCGCAAAGGGCCTCATTCGCATGCGCGTCAAGCACTTCCCTGCCATCTTCCTTCTCGCAAACACAATTTCTGGCCTCGTACTGGGTACTGAGACAGCCATGTTCCTCGCCTGGTTTGGCTTCATGACGGCATGGGTCTACCTCCGGTTCTACCGCATCAGCCCCTCTCTCTCGTCCGCTGCTACTGGCGACGGCTCAGTTATCAGAGGAGATGCCTCAGACACCTTTGCGTTCGCCCACTTCTTCCCTGAACCCATCCAGACACCCGTTGCTGTGCTAGCAGACCAGGTTTATAACATATTGGTCTCAATCAACATATGCACTGCTTTCTCTACCCATGACATTGATACAGGCAACGAACAGGCAAGCGCTCGCGCTGAAGGAGGTCTACCAAGCATCATGAACCCCAACAGTCGGGGCGGGAGAGGCGGAGGAACACGCGCAGAGGCGGAGAGAAGACGAGCGTTGGCACTAAAGGCCCTCGATCAGCGATTGCATGCTGCTGCAGCCCGTCCAGCTCCAGCACCAGCTCCAGTTTCCGTTTCTGGGCCTTCAAATATGCTAGGGGAGACGACTTACGAACCTGAACGACCAGATGCTCCCGAGAAGCCTACGTCGTAATCACACATGATAGCAAGTGGAGGAAAACATGCACTCAATGAGCTTAACAGAGCACTGCGTCATATCTTTTTTGGAATTGTCACGATTACAAATGATACCCTTGTATCTGTTTGCATTCTTGTACCCATTGCCGTGTTCTGATGCATCACGCTGGTACCCCTTCTCACCCTCGACAAACAAGCATACGAATCGTAGTCTTGGAGCATATGTCGCGTATCGTTCTCATATCACGCCAACGTCACATTAACGTTTGTGTTGGTGACAGCCGAGTGAGCGCAGGCAGCCTTCTTGCAGCAAGGTCGCGTGCTTCAGAGCTCTGACTCGGTCATACAACGTCTCTATCTGCATCACAACCACCACCATCAATACAATGGATTTGACCAGATGAGGTGCAGGAATCCGCCCAGCTTTGCTTTGGTCTCCATGTTTTAAGAAACGGGATGGGTATATAAAGAGATAGGTGGCAGGCCATCTCAACTCACCAATTCTCCAGCACTCCAAGCTACCTTCACATCTCGATAACATCTTCTTGAATCGGCATATTCGCATCTTAGACACCATGTATACCTCCGTCATTGTTATGACCCTCCTCGCTGCCGCAATTATGGCGGCACCAAACAACATACGACCACACCAGCGAGACATGGCCTCCGCGACTTCGACGGTCGAGTTCGAGTTTCCCACCCCATTTCCTGAGACTGGTGAATGGGCTGGTGTATGTAGTCCTCTTTGAAGCTGCCCTCTGAAAATCCTCGAAGTCGTTAGTGATGGGTGTTCGCTTACTCTTATGTAGGTTTACATCTGCGAAGACCATCACTGGGGCGGAAAATGCGAATACAAAGTGTCTCACCTCGGCAGCGCTCCAGAGGACTGCGTGGAACTTGATGGCTCTGCGTCGTCAATCGGGCCGGACCAGGGTTACTACTGTATTTTCTATACGCAAGGCTCCCCTTTGTTTGGATTTTTGGGAGTTGTTTGCTGACGCCAGATAGAAACGCCTTCTGTCGCCGACTCGCAAGTGATGGCTCCGACAACATCTCAGTTTCATATCCAGGAGAACCGAACTTGTTGGACACGCACGCAGGCAACTGGAACGATAAGGTCAGGAGCTACAACTGTTTCAAGGACGACGATTTTGAGGCATCAGATAAGTGATCTACGATGTCTTTTGCTAGGATTAGGAAGGATTTGAACATCTCGGGCGGTAATGAAGGACGATGGAGGAAACTAAGGTGTGGGATGTAAAATGAAAACAGTATAGCACTCAAATAAATGTTTTGTGCGTGTCAAGACATTTGACACTTAACATATGCGTTGATCATTCGCGAGCGGTCCGTTTATGATCACATGCAGATCAAAAAGCTGGAGAGATCTATTTGACTACATGCGGCTAGGCAATCTGTGGGGAAGAAACCGAGGCTCATGCATTCACATGTCGCAACCAACAGCTGTCAACGCCATCTTCGGTCATCATAGAGCCTCAACACGGAGGCGCATGCCTGCAAAGACGCAGATTGGAGCTTCTCTTGCATGTAAAGCTTCCAAATTACAGTTTGTATAGTCTATAACCCATCGATCCGCGTTCTTCGTGTCGCTCCGCAACCTCCGCATGCTCGACGTTTGACATGCTCATGTCTCTCCCACGGTAGCCATGGCCGTCTTATCGAAACCGTTCTCCAGCGCATCCTTAAAGTCCGCCGTCAATGACCTCACGTCGCTCTACCTCCAACATCGAACCCGCATCTCGCGCGCCGTCTACCTGACCCTCTTCGTCGCGCTGATAAACCGCGTGCGCAATGCCATCGCCGAGCAAAAGGCCGCGTCGCTGCGTCGCGCAACATCGAAGAGTACAAAAGAAGGCGATGGACGCAAGAAGGTCGAGCTGAACCGCGAGTTCTTCAAGAATCTATTGCGGTTACTGAAGATATGCATACCGGGGTGGAAGAGTAAGGAGCTCCGGTTGATCATCAGTCATAGCGTGTTTCTGGTGTTGAGAACGATGATCAGCTTGTATGTTGCGGAGCTGGATGGGAGGCTGGTCAGCAGTCTGGTGAGGGGGAAGGGGAAGGATTTTCTGAAGGGGTTGCTTTGGTGGATGACGGTCGCTATTCCGGCGACGTTTACCAATTCGATGGTAGGTGAAGTCGTATACCTTGGCGCAAGAAGAGAGAAGGAGCTCTGTGGAAGGCAGAAACTAACAACAACAGCTTTCGTACCACCAGTGCAAGCTCTCGCTACAATACCGCACGCGCCTCACAAACTACATACACAACAAATACCTCTCGCAAATGACATTCTACACGCTCTCCGCTCTAGACGACCGCATCAAGAACGCAGATCAGCTCATCACCGTCGATGTAGCTAAATTCGCTAACAGTCTCGCGGAGCTGTACTCGAACCTCGCAAAGCCCGTCCTCGATATTGTGATATACAACTACTCGCTGTCACGAAGCGTAGGTGGTGAGGGCCTCTTCTTCATGAGTCTACTCGTCCAGATCTCCGCAAACGTTATGCGCGCACTCACTCCACCATTCGGGAAATACGTTGCCGATGAAGCACGGCTGGAGGGCGAATTCAGATTTCAACACTCAAGACTGATCGACTATAGCGAGGAGGTGGCACTTTATCACGGACATGAGGCGGAGAAAGATACACTGGACAAGGGGTATTTTACACTCATCAAGCATGTCAACCGGATACTAAGAAGACGGTTATATCACGGCGTCATGGAAGACTTTGTCATCAAGTACTTCTGGGGCGCGTTGGGATTGCTACTTTGCAGTGTGCCTGTATTCTTCACAGTGCCAGGATCGAACTCAAACAGCATGGGCGACCGGACGGAAAGTAGGCATCTCCACTGATATTTTACTTTCCATATTTGCTAATCACCCTCAGGCTTCGTCACAAACCGTCGCATGCTCCTTATGTCCTCGGACGCCTTTGGTCGCGTAATGTTCTCTTACAAAGAAATCAGCGAGCTCGCAGGCTACACATCACGCGTCTCTACCCTTCTCGACGTCATCGACGATATTCAAGCTGGCCGCTTCGAGAAGAACCTTGTCTCCTCTGCCGACACAGAGGAAAATGCTGCCGTGCTACGCGGCCGCGGCACCGTCACTGAGGGCGAGGACATTGAATTTATCGACGTACCCATCGTATCACCAAACGGTGACGTGCTTGTACGCGCGTTAACCTTCAGCGTAAAGCCCGGCGATCACCTCCTCATCGTCGGGCCCAATGGATGCGGGAAATCTAGTCTATTCCGCATACTGGGCGGCTTGTGGCCTGTGTACGGTGGAAAAGTACGGAAACCACCGTTCGAAGACATCTTCTACGTACCACAGCGTCCGTACCTTTCCCGGGGTACATTGCGTCAGCAAATTATCTACCCGGACAACTTGCGCGAAATGCGCGACAAAGGCATCACAGACGCAGATCTCTACTCGATCCTCTCCGTCGTGGAAATCGAGTCCATAGTTGACCGCCCGGGAGGTTGGGACGCAGAGCAGGAGTGGACAGATGTGCTATCCGGCGGACTGCAACAACGTGTCGCAATGGCACGCCTCTTCTACCACCGCCCTCGATACGCCATCCTAGACGAATGCACGTCGTCCGTCACGCTAGAGATTGAAAAGGTCATGTACGACGAAGCTAAGCGGTTGGGCATCACGCTTATGACCGTGTCGCATCGGAGGAGTTTGTGGAAGTATCATGAGAAGATACTGCAGTTTGATGGGCAGGGGAAGTCTGTCTTTACTAAGCTAGATGCTGAGAGGAGGTTGGAACTTGAGGAGTAAGTCCCCCACCACCCTTTCCTTACTGTTCTATCAATGTCAATGCGGATGTGTGCTAACTCGACGCAGCGAGAAAGAGGATATCGAACTGCAACTCCGTGCGGTTCCGGATATCGAGCAGAGGATTGCGGAACTGACCTCTTCATAAGGTAGCGTGGGCTGTGTAGATCTGTAATATGTCCTTTTATATGACAGACATATGTTGTAGTTCCAGTTTTGATGCATGTTGTCCGAGCATTCACTTTCTCACTGCAGCTTTTCGTGTGCTATTCACACACTCTCCATACTGCACTATCTAACATCATGTTTTGTGCTTGGCTTTTTTCCTCTACTCTGTGATGTATACCTCCTTCACTTCTTCTCATCGTAATTGTAGGCATCAGGACATGACTGCTCAGTGTAGTCGTTGGCGGCTAGTTCCTTTTGGTGTATATTTCGAACTGCTCTTAATCATACTGATATTTGTTGGAGGGATAAGTGGTGTGGTGGTTAGGGACACGTGTTGGGTTAGGGACACGTGTTGTATCGAACCTGAACGGTAATGTGTCATTTCACGGCTAGAGTCATGATATGTATCCTTTACTAAACGTGCGAAAACAAGTGGTCGGCTGGTTGAGCTTCGCATCACGTGGAGCTTGTGTATACTTCGATGTCCTTCTGTTTCTATGTGACGTGTGCATTTTGAAGAACGGGGTGGACGGGCCTAGAGCTGCGACTGCAAAGGACTTAGGAAGAGTGGCGAGACGTCAGTAGATTGTCCGTTGGGGAGGTGGATATCATAGCATTTCTGGTTCGCACTATCAAATGAGAATTTCATAGTGTGAGGAGAAGTGGAGTTGACGTAGTGTTGTTTCCATGGCGATGGCTGTTGTCGGACGATAATGAGAATGAATTACGTCGAGGCTAGAACATGCTGGAGCATCTCACATACATATTCTGCACAGGCAGTCTGGCTTGGGCGTAGTATGGTCGAAAATCTACGTTAGTCTAGTGCGGCGTAGCACGAACTGATGGTCTTTTACGTCCAGACCGAGCCGGTAGATGCCCAACCCCACTTATTTGCAGCCTCATATAGGCGGATAGATCCGTTTGGCGTTCTTTCGGATAAACGAAGCGCCCCCCCCGAATGATCGCCAATGCCAATGCCAAGTCATGAGCGTTATGTGCGCTCTTTCCCCTCCTCCCTCCCTCCTTCTTCAACACACACATCAGAGTTTCTGGATTTGTACCACCACCAACTACAACTTCTATACACGTCTCAGGACGCGTAATTTTTGCATCTTTGCTGCTCTGCTACTTCTGCTCTCTTCTTCACGCCTTCTTCTTTGCCATTGCAAGCGATTGCGCCCCGACACAACTACCTTTTCGACGCGACGACGACGCGTTTACCAGCTGCGACCACCACACCTTCCACCACCTCTTCGCCAGTGACTGGCTATTGCCACGTCGCGATGGCTTCATACAAGATCGGCCAAACGGTCGAGACATTGGCTCAGCAGCAGGGCACCATTCGGTACATTGGACCGATCCATGTCTCTGAGGGTACTTGGCTTGGTATAGAGCTTAGCTCTGCCACGGGCAAGAACGACGGATCTGTCCGCGGTGAACGGTACTTTGACTGTCCTGCACAGCATGGTCTCTTCGTCAAGGAAGCCAACATCCTGAGGGTTGTGTCTCCACCCCCACCAAAGCCTGCTGTGAAACTCAGAGCTGCTGCACCTGCTGCTGCACCTGCACCTGCCCCCACTCTCAAGTCACGGTCATCCAGCATTGTTTCAAAGCGCCAGTCCGTGGTGCCTGCCACAACAAGATCTACTCTGCGAGGCCCAGCACCAGCGAGGAAGCCTAGCGTCGCCAATTCCACAACTACCGACAGTGCTCTGAAAAGCTCTAGGCATAGCAATTCTAGTGTTGCTCAATCGACCACCGACAACTCTCTGCGGACCTCCAGGTCTGGCAATACCGATGCTCTCCAGATCAAAATCCAACATCTCGAGAAGCAACATGCCGAGTATCAGGAGCAACTGAAGGAGTTCACACAAGCCAAAGATGACCGTGACAAGTTCAACGGCATCATCCAGAAGCTCAAGGTGAAATGCCAAACTCAACACCAAGAGGTACTGGAGACCAAAGAGCAAGTCACAACTCTTCAGGTCGAGAACCAACAACTCTCAAAGGCACAACAAGAGCAAGAAGCAGACTACGAAATCGCTCTCCTAGACAAGGAGATGGCGGAGGAGAAGGCCGAGCAGGCCGAGGCGGAGATCGAGGCGCTGCGGGCGCGAGTCGAAGAACGTGATTTAGAGCTAGAAATTCTTCGATCTGAAGCCGAGCTCCTTACAACTGACATGACCGAAGAGGACAAGGAGGCGGCAGGTTTTTTCAAGTTGCAAGAGGAAAATGACCGGTTGCGAGAAGCGCTAATCCGACTGAAAGAATATGCAGAAGAGAGAGAAAAGGAGCACAAAGCGTGTATCTTAGAGCTCGAGGAGGAGACCTCTCAGGTGGATCTCATAAAACAAACGAACGCGTCGCTTTTGGAGCGCCTGCAGAACACGGACGCCTTTGTCTGCGATTTGCAGCAACAAGTGGATGCTTCCAACGAATGGGAAGAGATGGTGGAAGTTCTCTCTTCGAAGAACCATGACCTCGAGGAGAGTGTGGTTGAGAAGGACCTCGTCATTAAGGATCTCGAGAGCCTGAGGGAGCTGAACGAGGAGCTTGAGCTTCAAAGGATGGAGGAAGCCGACGAGATGCGTGCAGAACTCGAGGTTAAGGACAGCGAGCTTGCGGAACATCTCCAGCGCCTTTTGGACCAGTCTGCGGTCATTGAGGAGCGCGATGAGCTCATCACCAAGTTCCGCGAGCTCATCTTTGAGCTGCAATCTCGAATGGCTGACGCCGAGTCTTCGAAAACCATGACCGAGACTCAAGTTCAGGAAACAACTGGCCGCTTCAATCAGGTCATGGAGATGAATAGGCGACTCCGCACGGCGAACGTTCATGCGACAAAGAAGGAGATATCTGCCCAGTTGGACAGATTGAGAGGAGACGAGCTGACTGAGAAACTCGCTGTCTGGATTGAGGTCGGATCAGACGACTTTTCCAATGGTGAGGCTACCGGAGCTTACTTCACGGCAAAACGTATCTCCTTCAAAGCCTCGCTTCTTAGCTCACTTTTCGCTACCAACGACCGTGACATGAGCCACAATGGCGGTCTTGAAGAAGCCCTAGCCCGGCTGTCTTGCGTCGAAGCTATATATCATCTCGCAAACATCAAGAACGGGAGCGAACGGCTGTGGTCGGCTATGGCGGTCTCCACGCTGTCACGATTTGCGAGTTTCGGGCCTTCGCATCAAGAAATTCTTGCGATTGAAAAGGTTCTGGATCAGGGTCTCGGTGCACTTAAGGCAGACGAGGTCAACTATGCCGATCTGGCCGGGTCTTTCGGCCGCGTGACAAAGATTCAGGAAGCCTTACTCCAGAGTCACCTCGATGCCCTTGCTGCTGCGCCCGAAGACGAGGTTCGCTTCCGAGCCTGCTCTATCACTGCTAATCTGGGCTTCTTGGAGTCAAATTTCGCAGTCGTGAACACGTTTCTAGTGTTCCTGATCTCCACCAACGAGGAGCTCGCCGAGCAGGCATCAGACGTTCTGGAGCACTTCAAATCACCATCAGCTGTTTGCAGCAAGGCTGTGCTGGCCGCGAACAAGCTGGTTAAACACCTCGGCGCCCTTCGAGAGGATGGCATGTATCCTGAATACCCAGCAGGCCTGGAAGCACTTGTCCAGCAGGATGCATACTTGACTCAGGTTGCCACTGAAGCGTCACAATGGGCTATCAATGCGGTAAAGATCGTCACCGAGACCTTTAACCCAGACGTTACTTTGCTCAGATTGGATTGTGATCTCGTCAATCTATTGCTCTATTACTGGGGCAACGGAATGTCACAAATGAGCGATGTCGTGTCGATCATCGATGAGTGGAATGAATACGCATCCGTCTTGATGCACAGTGTCGAGATTGTGCATGGACCAGCCCCGTGGACGGAAAAAGCCAAGGAGGTGGAGTCCGAGAGGAGAGGAAACGACACTGCCTTGGAACGCCTGCAAACTCTAACGGCTGAGCATCAGATTACGCGCCTCAAACTTTTGGAGCGACAAACGGTCATCGAAACGAAGGAGCTCGAGATCGAGCACTTGCTTAAGAGGCATGAGGAAGCTTCGGTGAAGATTGAAGACCTTGAACGACTCCATCACGAGCACACAGAGGCCCATGAGGAGATCATGCGTCTGCAGGTGCAGGTGAGGGGCCAGCACCTTGAAATCGATACTTTGAAGGAGCGCATTGCTCGGTCGGAGCGAACTGATGAGGCCGACCAACAGCTAGACCTCTCGACTTCGGTCACAGGACAAGAGCTAGCGGAGCCCGTGCTGGCGCCGCGAAGTCCTCCAGTCGGCTTCATAACACTCATCAATGCCCTCCAGGACGAAAACCATTGGTTGCGCCAGAAAGAGTATGCAGATGTTTTCAATTGCAATCTCCGGGGTATATTCGTTAACAAGAGAGGGGATGCTTCGCCTTGGGAGCAAGATTGGGCTGATCGTTTGCGCAACACTGCAAACAGCATGCTCAGTGTGTCTTGCGTCGGCGAAACTAAGGACTTCCCGCAAACACCCTTGAGGTCTTCCAAGTACCCCAAAGACTTACTCGACCCCGACTTTGAGCTTGGTACACCAGATGCGGAATCAACACCACTCCCCTCCCGCGAACTACGATCTGGCCGATTTAAGAGGTCACTTCCGGATCTTAGTCCAATACAGACCTCCTTCAACTGGCAGCCTTCGTCTTCTACGCATGAGCCATCTCTATCCATGCTCGAAAGAGATAGCTTGATGGACTTGTCACCGATATCGGAGGAATTCAGCGCGGAGATGACGGCGATGCTCGAGAACTTTAGCGAGATCGTGTTGACCGCAGATGCGGAGAGCTTTGGGGATAGTTTTGGTGAGAGCTTCAGCGAGATCATTTTGCCTGGGCGTGTTTGATTTGTTAGGATGAGTTGGATGTGGTTTGGATTCTTTCTGTGGTATTCGGGCATGTAGTGGAGTTTCTTTTGGTTATGTTTCGGACCACCTTCCATCACGGCTTGAGGGGATCCTCATTTGGTTGTAGCCGCCCGAGAGGGCTGGCTCCCATGGGGTGAACCAATACAGCCAGGTGGAAGGTTGGTTTGGATCTAGGACAGTGTTTTTCTCGGGCGTTTTGGGCGGGCATTGGGACTGGTTCTTGTATACTGCATGGTGTTCTGGATGGATGGTTTTGATTTCACAGCACTATACCCCATGGGCGGCATTCGTTTGTTTTTATCAGTTTTTATGGAATGAGTATTGTTGTTGCGACTTGCAAACCTTCTTCACTTTTCTGTATCTTCTTTTGATTGCATACAACTAGCTCAAGACCTCGGAGCTGACATCTCAACACGATTGAGAACACTGGTAATCCGATGAGAAATACCATGTTGTTCAACAAAGCCTCCAAGGTGTTTTGAGCAATAGTGCACCTGAGTTTTGTTGCGACGCCACATCGAGAACTTAGCTCACGATGCGAAGTAGAACATCATTTCTACCTATGGTGGTTGTCTCCCTTCCGATACATTACAAGATTGGACTTGCTAACGGCAGAACGTGTTGTTGAGTTGCACCTTCTAGATTCTTTCCATGACACACACCACAAGACGTGTCTCCAGCTCAACCTGCTCCATTATCAATGCACCATCTGACCTGCCGATCACCATACGAGGAGCGATTTCCTGGGTTGACCTGTCGTAGTCGGGCCTATAGTTCTGCACTTACCCTACGCCATGCTTGAGAACAGACAGTCCTTTCCTACGGCTACTTAGTGGCAGTAGCGCCTTGTTCGAGGCTGTGTTTTCTTAAAATCTCTTGTAACCTCGTCTCTATCTCCACACGGTCTTCCTCTCAGCACAACCACATCACTCCATCGGCTATCCTCACCCACCTCAGCCCACAGTGAGTTGAACACAATACCATCATCAGATCATGACTGACCCTGAACAGCAGAACTTACTGCGTCTCATTCGCTTCAACAACTCGACTACTTTCCGATAGCACACCAAGCATCTACACCATCGGACGGTCTCAACATTCACTTCATCTCGAAGCCACTGCAACTTCTCGAGGCCTGACCCTTCGAGCCAAGCCATCATGGTTGCAGACTTGGCCATACAACTTGGTCAGTTCACTCAATCGCGTTGGAGGGCTGTTGCTAACAGCATGCAGTTGGTCTCTCTAGCCGTCTCGGTCACGAGCCCCTTCCATGATCCAACCCACCGTCTACAAGCTGTCCAATGCAACCGTTCTTTCGATAAACCAGCTACCTGACACATCGCAAGACAAGCATTCATGACTACTTCTCGACGGTCACATCTATATGCCTCCTTCCAACTTCCACAATCTCATTTCCACACTCGGCACGGGGATCAACACCACCAAACTACAGGTCGGGCTGGAGACGGGAGGTGTGTACCAATTCCTGCGTGCAGATGTGGAGTAGTTTGATGGTCACTGATGCTCTACAGATCACTCCACCATCGTTATATCGATTGCCGGCGTCTACATGTTCTCGAACACGTTATGGATCATATACCCTGTCCATTCGACTATTCTGTATCGCCATTCGTATCGCCATTCATATCGGCATTCTTCAAATATCCCACATCGGCATTCTTCGATTATTAATTTACTATTCCATATCGCCATTCTTCCATTCGCGTCCGGGTCGAAGAACGTGACCTAGAGCTCGAGATCTTTCGGTCTGAAGCCGAATTGCTGACGCAGAACATGACTGAAGAGGAGAAAGAAGCCGCAGGATTTTACAAGTCACAAGAGGAGAATGATCGGTTGCGGGAAGCTCTGATCCGACTAAAAGAGTTTTCAGAGGAAAGAGAGAATAGTTACATCGACATCAACATCAGCATTCTTCGAATATCTTTTCACCATTCCATATCGACATCGAAACCGGCATTCTTCAAACATCAATTTACTATTCCATGTCGACATCCTTCGCCTATCAATCCACTGTTCCATATCAACATTTTTCCGTTCGCGAGAACAGGAAGCCGATTACGAGATCGCACTTCTTGACAAGGAGATGGCAGAGGAGAAGGCAGAGCAGGCGGAGGCGGAAATCGAGTCGTTGCGGGCCCGAGTCGAAGAACGCGATTTAGAGCTGGAAATTCTTCGCTCTGAAGCGGAGCTTTTAACGATTGATAGCATTCATATCAACATTCTTCGACTATCAATTCACTATTCCATACCGCCATTCATATCGCCATTCTTCGACATCTATATCACCATTCTTCGAATATCAATCGACTATTCCATATCACCATTTTTCCGTTCGCAAGAGCAAGAGGCGGATTACGAGTTTGCTCTCCTAGACAAGGAAATGGCCGAAGAGCGAGCTGAACAGTTTGATACTGAGATTGAGTTGTTGCGGGCCCAAGTTGAAGAGCGGGATCTCGAGCTTAGGATAGTGAATTGATAGTTGAAGAATGTCGATATAAATGCCATCAATTGTTAAAAGCTCCGCTTCTGACCGAAGAATCTTATGTCGCCGATCCTCGACATTCATATCGCCATCGCTCGACATTCATATCACCATTCTTCGAGCATCAATCCACTATTCCAAACCACCCATTTTCCATTCGCGCACAGGCCCGGTTCTCTGAGAAGAGAGAAAAGGAGTTCAGAGGAATGCCCTTCAGAGCTTGAGGAGGGGACTTCGAATTTCGATTGTATGGAACAGATTAATGCGTTCATTTGGAGAATGATCGCACATTAGGCAATGAGCAACGAGTTACATGTCCATCACAGTATTGTCTCTTCGTCAAAGGACGATTGTTCATGGACTGCTTCTCAGCCTGCAACGATGCTCCGTACGTGGTCACAACGAGCGGGGCCTTCGGTACCGAGGCCAGCTCTCTAAGTATCGAGTGCAGAGCTCAGAATCGCTGGCTCTTTGGTTCAGTTGTCCACGACTCTTAGTGAGGTTTGGTGATGGTTGGGTTTGGCGTAGATACGCATTGACTAGATGTCGCGTCTTGTGTCTGGAGAGGATTGGGTATATCCCAGCAGTTATGTGCTGCCTCGATGGAAAATTCATGTTTCTACTGTCCCGTTATGTCTTTACCTTTGTCATCTTGGCCTGCCAACTTATCCTGTGATGCCAGATCTTGGTTCATTAATCGCTAAGACTTCGCGAACGCGAAAGTGATTTGGAGACAGCTTGCATTGGAATTCACTACTATCGCGCCTTTGTTCTCCTTTCCTTCTTGACCGCCTCATCGTACTCGTGTTTGCCTACTTGATTTTGCTTTCCAGAAATTCACCTTCTCCATCCTTCACAGCTTCTAGCCGCTCCCAAGCTCGACTCTCGTCACTTTCTCCATGCTCTCAGATGTCTCATACCTCGTTCTCGTTATGACACGAGGCTTGGTTCGAGGAGGACCTGATCGTGCCATGGGCTAGTTCGTTAATCATGGAATGACCCGCATAGCGCTGGCAAACAGACTTTGGAACTGAGCACTGGGGTTTTGCGATATAGATCCAGAGGAGTGTTTCTTATGATCAACGCTTCCAGGTTTAAGTACAAAAGCTTGTAGTAGCGTTTCTAAACACGCCATATGTGTACACACTATATCCACGACGCCGGATACGATATCAGAATATGCTTTGATAGTGGACACGAGATTTAGATTTGTTCAATATTTATAAGAGTCCTTTCTCAGCCTTGAAGCTGTCGGTATATCTTCTTGTGCTGTTCTAAGAAGACAAAAATGAGGATCGTTTGAGGTCCCAAGCGGATGAAACTCGGCACAAAGCCCTTGAACATCCAGCCCAAGCCCTCTGATCTTGTGATATCTGTGACGAGCTTGACAACCCCAAGGCTTTCGCTGGAGCTCATGACTCGTGTTTTGATAACGTCGACGGGCGAGCATATGACCGTGGCCACAAAACCCGCAAGGGTGGAGGCCGTGAAATGAGTCGTGAGATTGTCCTTGAGCGGTGTGTAGTCCAGCAGTGCGCGTTTAAACCCATCGTATGTTGCCAATTGCCCCACGGTCATCAATGCCGCTCGCGACGAGTTCGCCCACACGCCCTTCCACAGACTTGCTACGCCCTCTTCGCGTACCATGCGGATGGCGCCGTCCAGCGCGTGCTTGTATCTTCGTCGCTTCTCTGCTGGTAGTGACGCATCATGCTGCATGCGCACATTGAGTATGTCGCCAGGGTTTCCGACTACACCTCCGAGGAAGCCCGACACCGATGCCATGCCAACGAGGACGAGGAACGACGGTTTCTTTTCGGCGGTCGTGACGCGGTCTTTAATCGATTCGTAGACGCCAAAACGGGTCATACTGTAGGTCAATTGGCGCAGCTGCGCAGCAGACAGCTGGTTGACATTAGTTAGGAGCAAACCAACAATTGCAGAGTACGAACACCGCGATACAGTCCCATGATCCCGTCAGTCTTGGCGACATGGCCGAACATTTGTAGCATGTTCAGCCGTACCCCAGAAGCTGCTTGTGTTTGCAGTCTGACCTGCGCAAGTTTGTGAGCGCGATATCGTGATCGGCTGGATGGCTTGGTTATACCTTAACTATGCAATGGTTAACATGATCCCTGCACCAGATAAAAGAAACATACCAAGATCCAAAGGATGCGTAAACAGAGTCGCAAAACAACTTGCGCTCCCACCAAACCAGAAGGGATAGTGTATTGGCGTGCTCTTTACATCCTTGCTCTTCTGCAGCTCAGGTGCGCTCACCTTCGTGGTGAGGACCGCCATGTTGCTCCGAATTGGACAGAAGCCTCATGTAGTCAGCACGAGAAGCTGTAGTCTTAAGCACGAGAGGTGAGTTGAGCGGACTTTGTTGTGTAGCCGAAAATTCACGGTAAGCAATGTCCACAGACGCCGACTCGGCTTGGCGCGCATTTTCTGGAGACGCGACGCTGCATGAGAACTCCATCGCGGCTATATCATCGACAAAGATGCGGATACAACCTGTCTCTGCGGTCTTGTGCCGTCAGCTCAGTCGAAATGCATTGTGGCGGATACAGAAGCCGTGTCTATCGTCTTGGCTGCGGCCGAATACCGCAAGGTTCAGCTCTTCTGGTGAGTCGACGTCACGTGGTATTTCTTCTGCCACCAACCGCAAGACGATTTGTTATTTTGCATCTAGTTATCTGGCTCTTACATCGCGTTGATTTATCTTTGCACTTCCAGTTGTTCCCGGCAATTTCAATCGAGTGCTGGGACAATGCTTAGTGACCATCATCTTAACACCAACCAGAAGCATCGTCAGATGAAATCAAAATAGAGGGGAATACCTACAAAACCGACGAATGGATGAACACGCCCTCGTCAATTCTTGCTGCAATTCCTCGGCGTCTGCATGTACAACCAGACCACCCTTTGACGATAACCCGCAAATTGATCGAATCACGCTTCCCCGGTTACAAGGCACACAACACCCTCTTCCCAATAGTCACGACTGGCCAGAACTTCGACTCGTTAGGCTTCCCGCTGGACCATGTCGGCCGGAGTAAAACAGATACGTACTACCTGAACAAAGACACCGTACTCAGGACACACACATCAGCACATCAAGCTGACACATTCCGCAAAAACGAGAGTGAAGGCTACCTCATAAGTGCAGATGTGTACCGACGAGACGCTATCGACCGGAGTCATTACCCTGTCTTCCATCAGATGGAAGGAGCGCGAACATGGGACAGACAGCAGGCCGAAAAAGAAGGCAAAACGCTCGCCCAAATCATATGGGACGATGTATCTAAGATCCCCAAACACGATGTTACAGTCGAAGATCTAAATCCAACGATTCACGCTGAGCGCAATCCGCTACAGACAACCCACTCTTCGGAAGAGGTTGAGGCTATCGCCGCCCACTTGAAACGCAGTCTCGAAGACATGGTCGTCACTATATTCAACGCCGCTAAGAGCGCAGCCGACGCATCTGCGACAACTTCAACACCCGATGAACCCCTGAAAGTCCGTTGGGTAGAAGCCTACTTCCCCTTCACATCGCCGAGTTGGGAACTTGAAGTCTTCTGGCAAGGCGATTGGCTCGAGGTGCTCGGTTGCGGTGTTGTTTCTCAACCAATTCTCAACAATGCATCAATGCCCCACAGGGTTGGTTGGGCGTTTGGTATCGGTCTCGAGCGCATCGCCATGTTGCTGTACTCGATACCCGACATCCGCCTGTTTTGGTCGAAGGATGCACGCTTCCTCTCTCAATTCAGCGAACAAAAGCCGATCCGACGATTCGTTCCGTTCAGCAAGTACCCCGCATGTTTCAAGGATGTGAGCTTCTGGTTGCGAAGTAGCTCAAGCGCTGCAGGGGGTGCCGCAGCTACCCATCCACCGGCATCTTCGACGATACCGGGAGCAGTACAAACGCAAAACCAGGTCCCACCAGCGGCTCCTACTCCTCCCGCTTTCCACGAGAACGATGTCATGGAGATCGCGCGTGAAGTCTGCGGTGATCTGGTCGAAGATGTACGACTCACAGATGAATTCGAACATCCCAAGACAAGTCGCAGGAGCATGTGCTACCGTATCAACTACCGCAGTCTGGAGCGTACACTCACAAATGAAGAGACAAATGAGATGCACGAGCGATTGCGAACCTTGCTTGAAGAGAGGCTGGGTGTTGAGCTGCGTTAGTTGACCATGTGGATGGAACCGATGCCTCTAGGCGGGTAGCGTAGTCTGAGATACTAAATTCCGTTGCCCGTCCATGTATACCTAAGCTACACAAAGCTTTTGCATATGTATCATACATGTACAAAATGATCGATTTACTATGTCAAGCCAGCGCAAGAGGTCCTGTTCAGTGTACACGGAGCTAATATGCGATCATTCAGGTTCAACTATCACGCGTATCATTCGGTCTTGGTTGGCAGAAAGATGAAGAATTGTTCGACTGCAGGTGTTCGCCTTTGATCCCCTCTTCAACTACCGATACGCTAGTAAACTGTTGAGTCTCAGATCTGTGAACGGACCAACTTTCGCTCACTTCTACACGGGCGCCGGTATGTCGATAACTTAATTCGCAAAGCCTTCTACGGTATACGCACACTACCCAAGCTTTTGATTTGCTCCTATCCACCACACAACTTTCGCTACCAGAATCTATGGATTAAGGATCGAATACTTGCATAGGCAACATATGGTTGAGAAGTAGAAGTTACGTTACGTTCCAAATATCACTTGGACGTATATACCGCATCTTATAGCCCTAATCTCTTCATGGCTGTTAGCGAAACCCCCGCTTCGCTTGCGGAAAGACAGTAGGTACCCCAAAAAAGCAGTCAAGCGGACCGAGAAGCCTCTCCCGGAAACCCTTTCTGCTTGTGTACAAGTTCAATATCATTGAGAGGGGGTTATCACAGTATCGACAATGTATAACTACATATCGTAATCTAATCAGACTAATTAGATGTGGGCAGCAAGGACCAAATTGGGCAGTTCTTAAGACCTTATTGGAACTGTTTTATAACGTTTGCGAGGCATTAGCAGAGTACAGTTATTCCTCTGGATTTGTTGCATAAAAATGTTCAGACTGAATCTTGTCACGACGTGAGTGACGCAACTTTTATGTTTCAGACGACTTTTCACAATTCAAATACCACAAACAAGAATTCAACATGTGTTACGATGACGCACAATCGGTAATGTTCGAGTTGGTGATGGGAACCTTTGCTGTGGGATTTTGGAATGATTTGGGTGCAACCTGTGGTCATTTGAAACACAGAAAGTCACAGCCTTAAAGCTTAGACTCAGCCATGGTAAAGAAGGCATGGGGAGCCGATGTCTGGTATAATCCGATCGCTTGGGTCTACAATGTCTCGTCGATGAGTAATATTCCTCAGACGGCTACTGCAGGAGCTGTGTGGGGTAGCACGGGGAAAAACTCCTAGAACTAAGAGGGCTGCAATGGTACGATTCAGAATGCTCATAGTGATGGCACGCAAAGGCTTGTCAATGAGTCGCTCTGTGGAAGAGCTGAGAATGGGCTGATGTCTTGATCATGTGTCCAAAAGTTGTAATGTTCCTCGTCCATCTTGTGTCTCTTATGATTAGGTTTCCCGGTTACTGCGACGTCTCCGTCGGCCGCTTCACATTGGGTATCAATCGGTCTGATCGAATACAAGATGCGACTGTATGGGAACCTTTTTATATGGGGTTATCCATTCTTTCAATTAAAAAACAATGATCTAGGAAATGAGCGGCTGGCGAGTTGAGAAGACCAGGGAGACGGGTAGGCAGAGTCGAAATCATGTGTGGTATACACCAAGCAGATTCGCTTCGAGAAAAAGGTTACATACAGCAACTACCGACTGAACTCTTCGGCCACTGCATGCGTCCTTGTAAGGTCAGTCTTGATTGTGACTCACGAGGTGGACTAGGCTATCAAAGATGCCAGAACCTTGAAATTGCCACATGGCTGCGAACCACAAAAGTCTAGTATGCAACCTGAGGAAGTTAGCGACATGTGGGTGAGTATGAAAAGCCCAATCTCAGGCCACAGAACAGACAAGGATAACAGCCTGAAACGGTTTAGGGAGCCCCAGAGGAGCCAGGTTCTCCTTTACAAATCACTTAGAGACGAGGACTGACACGGTTCACGGGTGTAGAGCGAGGCTAGAATGTATGAGCCCTTGCGCGTCTGTAGTCCCCATCATCCTCTGAACGTGGGTCCGCCTGCCTCGCGCAAACTTGAAACTCAAAGACTAGAAAGTTGCTGTAAACTCAAATTAGGCTAAATACGACGTTAGAAATCCATTTCTCACCCACTGTTAGCTCAACGGCATGTTCCACTGTCCAATATACCTAGCATCGTGATCGTGATGTTGTGAGAACGACTGTGTACATGGGAGGCTATACCTAACGTGTCTAGGCCTGTGCTCTGCCATGTATTCGGCTCTGATGCAGCAACACTACGTTCAGTCGTTGAGTGCTAAGAAAGAAAGTCGGTGTTGAGAGCATATAGCATTTATTTCGCCGAGGCTGTGCAGTGACAGCAAGGAATTTTACACGGTCGGGTGACAATGCATCATCTCACGAAGTACTCAAAGGAATGACTGAGAAATATGGGGCTCCAGCTCTTCCGGTTAGCAAGTGCTCGCCTATGGAAGGTTTATGGAGGTGAGAGATGTTATTCAACTCGCGTAGCAGGGAGATCATTGCGCGAGGAAGGGCCATGTAGTGCTCCGCAGCCTTGCGGTCCACGGCACGCACGACGCATGCAGAACCTGGTTTCAAACGCATGTCAACGTGGTATAGGTTCCGAGGGTTGTGCCGTAGTCGGTCTGGCCAGGGGGTCGTGAGAAATGGCTGCGTTTCAGGCCAATGAGAGCCACGCTCGCTTCGCACCTGCTTGTTCCTCTGTGCAATCCGGGACTCTGAAGCTTCCGACTGTCGCGGATCGGCATGCACTATCCCTTTCTTATCTAAAATGCGAGTGGAGAACGTCCCGATTGTGATCAAGGAAACAGTCTCCCGAATCACAAACTGTCCTCGGCGCCGACACCTCTTTTCTCAACCACATGCTACTGCAACTGCTCAATGTCCGTTCGGCCAGCCTGTCATCTCCGCACAGTAATTCCTTTGTCATTCAACAGTACACCGTCCCAAGCACTGAAACTGTCAAGGGATTCGTGATAGCCCGTAGGCAAGTGACCGAATGTGCTGCGCTAACTACGGTCCTAAATTGTAGATCAAAAGCTTCGATCAACACGTGCACAATCAAGCATGGTGAAAACCTTGGTGACATTTGGTAGATCATTTCTGAACACTGGTCCACACGCGGTGACGTTCTAGCTTCCCCACGCTTCCGCCACACACGGGAAGCTCACGTTTCACCCCGTCGTTCGCTTCGCCTAACTTCTGTTGCGCCACTGCGAGTCTGGATATATCGCCGTTGCTAGCTACTTGGTTGTGCAGGGAAGACCTCGTTACTGCGTGTATCAATAGTATGTCGAGCTAGCCACATTACATCGCTCCCTTGTTTTTTATCATACATATGCAGGGAACGTTCTCATGTTTGACATACCCGTCTTTCCAAGTCTCAACAACCTTGTACCTCAGACAGCGAGCCACGGGTACCTCAAACGATTATCATGGAACATATTTCCAGCTGCATGCGGCCGGTAGTCGATGTATCTTCGGTGTATATAACTCAGGGACCATCCTCGAGAAGTGTAGGTACTCTATCTATGTCCAGATATTCATCCATATGATTTACCACCTGCATCGTCGAGTATCTTCGCTAAACGATATCCAGCAAAGCCCATCATCTGCGACTCTTACTCAAACTCTTCCCTCCAAGTACCAGCTCTGGCCGTCAGCAAAGTCCGACAAATTGGTCGCCTTATCTGTTGGCCGTTCTTCTACTTCACTTAGCGACACTGCGACTCTGCCAGACAAGGTGCCATTCTGGCAACGCAACAACACAATGTCAAGAAGGAGGAATTTCAGCATAGCTGAAGTCGGAGCAACCATGACTACTGTGCAAGAAATCGCAATTGACTCTCGTTAGTTTCAAGCTACTCCACTTCATAACCGTAGGCTTACATCCCTCAGCAACAATACCGGGACGACCACCTCTTCGCAAGTTTTCAGATGCTTCCTTCAGTTACGACCGGACGTACAACTCTCCAGAAGCAAACTGGAGAGTTGGTCCGTTTGGCGATGCATTGATGTCCTGCGTCAGTGGTCCTTCTCCGATTCTGACACAGCAAAGCACGCCGCCAAACTCGTCAGAGATGCTCACCCCCAATTCAAGACCGCGGTCCCCCCGTCGAGCAAGTCCGGATCCCTCGTTGGATATGCACACATTCTACATTATCGACGACTACGAAGTTCGACCAGAAGTACCTCCCAAATCACCTACACTCGAACGCAAGGGCTCGCCAGCTCCGCTCAAGCTCGACATGAAGATGGCCAAGCCACTACTCATGATGTCAGCGTCCGCGGCGTCAGGCAGGAGAACGCCTCTCAGTGCGACTGATACCAAGCGGTCACCCAAATCCCACACACCACTTCCCACGCCTCCATCAGAATCGTCGACTCCTTTTTTCGTATCCTCGCTGTCGCCAAACCGAGGTTCCCCACGATCCGAGAAACGGGATCCTATCTCCTCCCGAGTAATCACGGCTCATACCCGAATCATGTCGGAATCATCCATTGTAGCTCACGGTCAACCTACAGATCAAAAGAGTGACAGCGCTCACAAACATAGTAGGGCATGCTCTGAAGGAGGTAGCTCTAAGCCTTCAACTGTGGATAACTGGAAGTTACCCCAAGGCATGCGCGTGTCTGAGGCGTCGAAGCGCATGTGTGATGCCGACCAGAAACTACTCCATAAACAAGCATGCGATCAATCTTCAAATTTCGAAGTTCTAGACAAGCGCGATGTAGCCTCTTTGTCAAGGGTAAGCTCCGTCGACTCGATCGCCTAGAAGTATGGCTTCTAACATCCTCACAGGAACTGAGAGCATTGGACGAACGCTGCGACTACCTCCGTAGAACATACAAGTCTCTAAGGGCTGGTCGTCAAAAACTACATAGTCGTATGATCTCAAATCTTCGACGCGGAGATACGGTTATCTTTTCCCGCGAATCTCTTCTCAAACAAGAGGAAGCCCTCGCCGAGCTCGATGTCTCGATCGATGAGTTTATTGCCAAGCTAGAGCAGGCCGAGAACAGACGCTTGCGACTTCGACAAAAGTTACTTGAACATGTTGCTGCAGCCATCGTGCTCAACCCCACTGCAACTCGTGGTGCTCGCGACAACTTTGCAGAGACAACACCACCGCGAAGTCCCGTCAAAACAGAGCCTAGTCGCACTCGGACCGATAGGACACAGACTGAGTCCATCAAAATCTACGCGGATGGCCATGTTCTCGATCTCTTCTCTGACATCGAGAAGGCGATTGGTCACATGTGCGAGCAGACCTGCTAATGTTGTCATACGAAACGTTGTTTCTTTCTATTCTAATTTTATCACGGCAACGCCAACTTTACTATATACCTCCACGTTGATTTCATTACCTCATATCCATGAGAGGCTTTTCGTTCATGTTTTTGGCCCAGCCTAGTTTGTACTTCACTTCGTTGTGGAGTCTCGGCCATTGTTTGTATGGGGCCATGTGTATTTTCCTACTACTTTCTTTGTAACGATACCCAGATCGCGCGTTGTTTCAGCACATTATGAACGTTCATATCTTGACGGGGTGATTTGTCGACGATGACATATCGTGGGAGATACTTGGCGTAGTGTTCCAGATGTTTGACAGGGGTGGAGCGGCAGGAACACAGGTATGTGGCGTAAGACGTATCAAGCTATAGCTTCACAGGGCTAGATCCTTTGGCTAAGGAATTAATCCTTGCATAAAACGTGCCGTCCTAAACGTGTGATGTTTTTCGGACCCTTGCAAATTGATGATATCCTTAGCCCGCACTCAGCCAGCCCTTGGCCTGCAGAGTGCCTAGTCAACAGAACAACAGTTCCCCTTTTCCACGATTGCGGTCCCAGCGCAAAGTTTGCGAAAAGTTCAGGCTGGATTGGAGAAGTGGTGCGTCAGTTCTTACTAATCAATTTGTCGCTAAAGACGGCTAGCACTATTGTGTTTGATGGCTCGAAGTTGTGGTTGCGGTACCAGCAATGTAGCTGTCAAAAGCTCGATAGACAAGGCACAGAGTCGGGCAGCAATGTCAAAAAAAACATCAGGACAGCTGAGCTAGGCTTTGGTTCAGACCTCGTTTCAAGTTTTGCGTGAGGTGTTGGCTCAAATCGGACAGCCTGAACCAAAGTGCTTTGAACCCCCTTCCAGAATAACACAAGGTTTGCGACATAGAATAACATCAGATTTTCAATAGAGTGTACATGACTGATCCCAAAGTTTCGACATCGTAAGGACAGCCAGATTTCGCTACGTGGAACTCTGTCACGTGTGCCGGTATCGGTGCTAGGATAGTCCGTGAGGTCCGTGCCCGCCATTTGCACAGAAAAGTTAAGACCGACAACGAGGTGAGTGCCGACACACTCAGAAATTTGCGCCGCCATGGCTACCAACAGTATCAAGCTACTCACTGGAAACAGCTATCCGGAGCTTGCCCGCCTTGTGGCTGACAGGTACGTTCGACTTCATCTGTCTTTGATTTTCTGCGAGATTCCCCTCACCACTCTATCCGCAAAGGGTGGATACTCTTCAATGCCCCTCAGGCTGCATATAGAACAGCACCGTGTATCATACGATACTACTGCTGCCTCAGCGTCTCGTTAGCTTTTGCCTATTGTTTGAGCGTGGACAAACTTAATTCATTCCACATTTGGAGCTTCACTGACATTGTTCAGGCTCGGAATAGAGCTGACCAAGATCTTGGTACTGCAATATTCAAACCAAGAGACGTCTGTGACCATTGGCGAGTCTGTCAGAGACGAAGATGGTATGTCTTATCAGTTGGATGGTCAGGTGTTTGCATGCAATACAGCATAGCTTACCTTACAACAGTATTCATCTTGCAATCTACGCCGCCTGGCGACATCAACGATGCTCTGATGGAGCTTCTGATCATGATCAATGCGTGCAAGACAGCATCTGCACGTCGTATCACCGCCGTGCTTCCAAATTTCCCATATGCTCGTCAGGACAAAAAGGACAAGTCACGCGCACCAATCACGGCTAAGCTCATGGCGAACATGCTACAAACCGCTGGCTGCAACCACATAATCACAATGGATCTCCATGCGAGTCAGATTCAAGGCTTCTTCAACGTCCCCGTGGACAACCTCTATGCGGAACCGAGTACGTTGAGATGGATTCGTGAGAACTGCGATGTCCAGAACTGTGTCATTGTTAGTCCAGATGCGGGAGGCGCGAAAAGGTATGAGTCTCTCCTGCTTACAAGACTTTTACGTGAACTTGTGGAAGTCCAGTGCCACCTGATTTCAACGCTGTATTGACGACGTGCCGACCCTTGGAGACTTCTCATAGCAATAACCACAGGGGGGCTGACGTGTCTACAGGGCGACCTCGATCGCTGACGGCCTCAATTTACCATTTGCCCTCATCCACAAGGAGCGCACTCGCCCCAACGAAGTCTCAAGAATGACACTAGTTGGAGAAGTTACAGGCAGAACAGCCATCCTTGTCGACGATATGGCCGATACTTGCGGTACCCTTGTCAAGGCTGCAAGTGTGCTGATCGAGCAGGGTGGTGCGAAAGACGCCATCGCTATTGTCACTCATGGCATTCTGAGCGGCAACGCCATTGAAGCTTTGAATGGCAGTCAACTCAAAAAGATCGTTGTTACCAACACTGTTCCTCACGAGGACAAGAAGGAGGTTTGCGACCGCATCGAAACGATCGACATCAGTCCTACTGTAAGTCGGGAACTGTTTGACACCAATCTTCAATTCTGACTTTCAATCAGCTCGCCGAGGCTTGTAGACGAACACACAACGGCGAGAGCGTGTCTTTCCTCTTCAAGCACGCACCCGCCGACTAAAGGCAAAAGGCACGATCTCAAGTAACGAGTTCCATGGTTCAAAAGAAGTCGGCGTTTTGGTGCAGGGGAGTTAGGATTGCAACCGCTTTTGCCTGTCCTTCGGGGCAGCCATCTAGAGTTGAAGCCATGGTGGTCTGGTTGCTTCCCTATTACGGAAGGTCCCACGCGGAGCAGCTCAATTTCTGAAGAAAGAAGCAGCATATGGTTGAGCTGCTCTTGCATTAGTGGTACCGAGTCTCAAAATTCCATCCTTGCGTTCAGTTGTGGCAAGGCTAGTGTCAATCAAATTGACATTTGAACGAGACGAACGAGCGTTTCCCTACTCGCATGATACGCTCATGATTCATCGTTGACTAGAACTGCAGCAGCTAAACTTTGTATTCTGAGGGCAGGGATACACGGTATTTTCCATGCCATCCCTGGACCCCTTGTGTAGCAAACGCCAAACACCCATCCGCACGTTCGGGAGTAGAGATTCAGTAGAATTATGGGTAAATCCCAGTCATGAACCACGATCTTCACCCATACCATTCACCTGTCCATGCCCAAACAATGTCTAGGTCAAATGACACAACTATTCGGAAGACTTAATTCTATGTCTCTGCAAAGTTTGCCAGTCTGTACGCTTCTACATCTAGCTACTGCCATTATTAGTAAATTTTGAGACTGCTTCGACTGGACTGAAAATTCACTTAGATCACGCTATTTCGCATTTATGGAAGGTGTCCCTATCGATCGACTCCGCCGAACTTTTACTAGCGAAGATGAACGTTTCTTCTCACAAGTCATGACTACCACTACTCTAACTACGGGTGCACGTGCGCGCGCTGATCAGATGGCGCAACCGTATCCTCCAACGCCTTTACCCCTTCGGACCTCCACCGGCAGCGCGTTTCCCTTTGCAGTCACTTCGCCCGCATCTGGAAACTCTATCTGCTTTCCTCCGCCCCGGATCCTTGTTGTACCGGCTCAAACTAGTACAGTTTCGAGTTTAACGTCCGCTTTGAGAAGACCCTAAGCAGAAAACGGCATCACTGAACGTTAAGGGTTCCCGGGAGGCGCACTGTAGTACGCGACTCGCGAAAGTTCGCACTACTGTGTGATTCAGTGTTCGATCGCAAGCAACGGTATGCATGACTCTGCAATCGAGAGTTCTCGGTTTTGCGTCCCGAGTGCGTAAGGACGATGATCGACTACACACACACTTTCATCGGACGTGCTCATCTCTTCGAGTCAGTGTCGAGATTTAACCCTCGATGGCCTTGGATACGATGCACTTAGCTGACTGCCAGCCAATACAGATGCAAGTCTCAGCGCATCAAAACGATCGAACACTATCAGTATGCTTCTCGTACCCCCCAAACCCAAACTTTTCGAACCACTAGACGCATCACCATCTATCTAGAGACTTGTCTTCGCCGCAGTCAGCCGGTACTTGCCTCAAAATCAAGTCACAGGATGTCTTCCAGGCCGTCCCCACTCCACCCTAAACCTCTTTCGACCGCATTCGGCTTCGCATCTGCGCTCGCGAAACATGGGTCGGACCTGGACGTCCACGAGGGGGTTTAGGTTTGCACTCCACCCGCCTCTCATGGTATTGGGATATGATGTGCAGGACTAGCGTGTGGAGGGGGTGGATTACGTGCGAATGCTGTACGCGAAGGACTGGTGGAAGATCTTTACTGGAAAGACATGCATGACCGATGATCTGGTTTCCAGCCTTGCATGCATGTGTGTGTGTGAAGGTGATGAACATGGTTATTCCAAGTACTGAGACCCTTCGCTTCAAGGCCGCATTGCAGGGGACCATGTCGAGCAGGTTCGCATGGAAGCAGCAATCGATGGACCCATGCACATGTCCAAACTATCACGTCCATGCAAAACACTGTGCTAATATCAAATCCAGCACGCTTTGTGTGCAGGAAGGAGGTGGTTACTGAGCATGTGGATTACCTCTCGAGAACCAAAGCGTAAGGTATTGCAAACCCCATGGGGTGATGCCCGCAAGTGATCCATCGTGTAATCACGGATGCGTATCAAGAGCTCAGTACATTGCATGACATAGCTGTATATCGTTCTTCAGCTAGAGTGTAGGTTTATATATAATTCTTGCCATGCTTGAGATACACACACTGCAGATTATCAGTAGGTTGAATTTGGTGAACATGTATACACACCTCAAACCTCCTCATCAAGAAAGAAACCAACCCTCCAATAAACAGAAGGAGAGAAGAGATGAAATGGTCCATGTACCTCTACCCCAACACCCCCTTTGACATCTTTACCACCTCCTTTTACCCCAGATCTTCTCCACACTCTTTCCCTCTCACTGCACACTTCAAGCACACTTCAAGCACCGCCAATTCGAACTCTACCCCCAACCTCTCCAACCTCTCATAAGACACACGACCACTTTCCCTCAACACGCCATGCCATCCTCCCTCCTACCCACCCGCCCCAATCGTGCCTTAAACCGTGCTATTAAACGCATGGCATTACATCACATCCCATACCCAACCGACTCATCGAGACAGTAAAAGCACACATCGAGAGCATTCACATAACCCCTACACGCTATGCCGAGGAGATATGGCCAGATTACCATAGAGAGGCATTGCTTGAGTTGGTGAAAGATGTTGTGTTAGTAAGGATAAAGGGTCAAGGGTAAAGGGCTATATCCTGGGGTAACACTTTGTCGTTTTTCTGTTGTGGAGGTAGGTTTCGAGTATGGAGATTGCTAGATGGGGTATGTACTTGAAGTAGAAGGGCAATGGGGTGCTAGTTCGGGTTGTAGGCAAGATTCCTCGAAGTCTTGACAAATAAAGGACATAATTCAAGACGGTAGAGTAGTAAGGGTTATGCGAGGTGGTAGACACGCCGGCGGAAAGCGAGAACAATACAAACACATGGGTCGGGGTCGTGAAGTATTGCAATTGTTTATATTGAAGAGACAGCTGCCTTGAGCAGTCAGTGGTATGAAGAAGCGCCCCATTCCATGCCCAGAATCCCGAAGTTTTCATTCAGATACAGGGAGCCCACACCGATATTTTCGTGCCGACGCCAAAGTAATCATTCCACGACCCAATCATGCATTCATGATTCATCCTCTAATGCCTCATCGACGAAGCCCTCCTCTTCTTGGCCTCCTCGTGGGCGCTCTTGGCATCGTTGATGCGCTTGGAGAGGATCTGGGCGTACTCGCTCTGTGATTTGTTAGCATTCGAGATTGCGTATGGGTGGACAGGGGTGGACGTACGGCAGCATCCTTGGAGGCTTCCGCGCGGCGGCGCTTGAGTGCGACGCGGTGGCGCTTGTGCTGGAGACGCTGGGGAGTGACCAGGCGCTGGATCTTGGGAGCCTTGGTGTAGGGCTTTGCGCCCTCCTTCTTAGGCTGAACCTCGCGGCGGATGACAAACTTGCGGACCTATAGATAATGGCCGTCAGACTCAATCCTTTGCAAAAACAAAGAGGATTGGCGAAGAAGCTATGAGAGAACTCACATCATCTTCCTTGCTGAGACCGAAGAAACGGCGGATCTTGGTGGCGCGCTTGGGGCCGAGGCGCTTGGGGTGGACAACGTCGGTAAGACCGGGGATGTCTTCGTCGCCCTTCTTGACGATGCTCACGGCGAGGACAGAGAGGTCCATGCCGACGATGCAACCGCGGACGGACTTCCTCTTGCGCTCGCCGGTGCGGCGGGGACGGTAGCAGGAGTGACCGTCGGCAAGGAGAAGGCGGACACGGGTGGGGTGCATAACACCCTGCTTCATCGGGAAACCCTGCTTGTCGTTGCCGCCGGTGATCCTCAGGACGTAGCCCTTGAACTCATCGCCGACGCTGTCGCCAGGGACTTCCTGACCCATGCGGCGCTCCATGAAGACGCGGAGCTTGCGCTCATCTTCGATCTCGATCAGCTTCTGGGTGCCATTGTTGGGGTAGGAAACGTTGAGCTTCATCTTGACGGCGGTGTCGTGACGACGGGCGTTGCTGCAACGTTAGTAAAGACTGTCGTGGTGACCTTGAAGTTCGGGTCGAATTCTCGTGGGAGAATAATCATAAGCGAGTCTTGGCGGGTTGGTGTGTCACGTGCCGTAGCATCACAAACTCTGGACGACCACGAACTTCTCGAACTTGAATGTATTGATTGTAAATTTTGTATTTGTAAGTGGAATTTATAGATCAACGAGAAGCCAGTTGCTGTCGTAGGCCAGAGAGTTCACGCCTCCGCTATTATAAAGAAAGCAAGATGCAGTCTCACTCACAGTTTACAACGCGTCCAGCATATCATACCCAGCTAACTCCGCGATCCTCTCCCCTTCCACCTATCGTTCTGGGCGTGCCCCCTAAACCCTCCCCTTGCCTCTCTTTCTTTCTTCTGCTCTTCCCTCTTCGACCACCATTCATCTGAGTGCTTCCCACCGCCCACCAGCTTCCCATACTTGTTCAGTCCCAACGTCCTCCGCGTCATCCTGTTCCGTCCCAGCCCCATACTGTCCATGTCCTCATCCTTGATTCCCGTCTTCCCATCCTTCGCTTCCGTCTCCCCATCCTTCATTCCCGTCTCCCCATCCTTCATTCCCGTCTCCCCATCCTTCATTCCCGTCTCCCCATCCTTCATTCCCGTCTCCCCA